TAGTTGCTTATGTTCGAAACGAGGGAAGGACGCATTCAGAAGCACTACTGGATTTGACATACAATCTTTTTCAAATACTAGACCGATCGAAGATAATACTCACGGCGGAATACCTTCCTGGACGATACAGTCAGATTGCAGACGGTCTATCCAGGGGCAAGAAATCTGCAGAATATCATCTGCAACCAGAAGCTTTAGAAACGATATTTCAGAGGTTTGGCACTCCAGAGATAGATCTCTTTGCGTCAAAGGACACGAAGGTGGTACCAGCTTATGTATCCAAGGTTGCGAGCGACTCTTCAGCAGCTTTCTGCAACGCCTTCAGCAAAAGCTGGAATTCCAAATTAGCATGGGTCTTCCCACCACCTTTTCTGGTGCCCAGAGTCCTACATCATCTGAACCAAGCACGAGGTACGTTCCTTTTAGTAGCACCACTCTGGAAACGAGCTTACTGGCTACCCGACCTGCGCCAGCGAGCTTTGACACGTCCCATGAGAGTGGACAACCTTCATTAGGTCCTAATAGACCAGATGACAGGGCTACCACCTCCTCAGGTCCAGGATATGCAACTTTTAGTATGAAAAGTTGGGGGTGGGCCGATGCAATAAAGGATTTGACTGAAACTGAGAAGTCACTACTCAAGCAAAGCTGGAGGGAATCTACTCTCAAGACATATAGACCAGCCTGGCTTTGTTGGACTCAATGGTGTAAGGACAACGTTTTTGATTATAAACATCCTAATAGCAGTTCTCTTTCAAAATATTTGGCTTATTTGCACTTACAGAAAAAATGTCATACTCCACTATACTCTTGCATAAATCTGTTATTTTAACTCTAGGCCTTCCCAGAGAGGATCTAAATTCAAATTTTTTGATAAAACATATGCTCACAGCAATTTCCATGCAACAGCCTGTAAAATAAAAGGCTCCTATTTGGAATCCATCTGATTTAATTTCATGGTTAAGTTCTAATTATATGGAAGTTATTATATGGAAGTCATTTTTGGCACTGGAAGACCCAAATGAAGCAGCTACAACCTTAATAGAAATCATCCAAGATTGTGTTAAGCACAACAGTTCGAAAATAACATTCACACGACGTAACCGTCCATTGAAACCATGGTTCACTGTAAGTATGGTAAAATGTTTTCAAAAAAGAGATAAGATGCACCGATCACTAAAAAAACACCCTAATAATATTGAATTAAAAACCGCTTATCTGAATTATCGTAATAAGTCCTTTGTAATGACTCGTGTACTCACTTTGATATAAAAGCCCATGTGTCCTCATGCAATGCCGCCTCCGACCCAGATTCTGACTGCGACTGCCCAACCTTAATTGAAACAGATACCCATAAATACCTTGGCATTGTAGTTGATAAATATTTAAACTGGTATCCTCAGATTAGCACACTAAGCAAAAGAATTCGAAAACTAATACATATATTTAGGAACCTCCGCGGAGTTACGGATTCAAAACAAATAACTAAAATTTATATTGCATTATGTCAATCGGTTTTATCATATTGTATTCCAATTTGGGGTGGTGCTGCGGTGACACATATAATAGAGCTGGAAAGAGCACAAAGAGCAGTCATTAAAGTCATGCTTCACAAACCAAGAAGATATTCTACTGCAAACTTATACAAGGAGGCAAAACTATTGACAGTTCGACTGCTGTATATTCTCTTCTCCACCCTCCGTCACCACAAGTATGTTGATCCCACTACATTGCCACAAAATAAAAGACAAATACTAACGCCGGTTCCTACATTTAGAACTAAATTCGCGCTACGACAAACTTATATGTGTCCTTACTTATACCGAAAATTTAACGACCTGTCCCCAATCTATAAAATGAACAGAAAGAAGTTGAAATCTTACTTACACACAAAGTTGCTTGAACTTGACTGGATAAACACTGAATGTCTCTTGAAAACCACCTAAAAAGGGCATATTTTTACATTCAAGTCATACCCAACCCAGTTACTTAATATAAAGTAATACAAATATGTATACATTCACTCACAAAAACAAACATACAAACACACCCATACAAATACATACACACACACACTCAAACACACACACACTCACATACATATATATATATTTATTGTAATTAGTTTTATTTTACTTTATAAGGGCTAAATTCATTCCCGCAAAATTATTCTGTTATCTTCTGTAATATTATCTCCAATCAACAACTGTGAGCTTATAAATGCAAAATAACGGCACAATTATTGTTCAAAAATAGTGAGGTGGAGGGTTGATAACCTGAGATACAGGATCTTTCCTAGTTCAGGTATCAACCTGCCATAATCTTGTATTGATTTGTATGTAACATTTTGCTTCTGTTATCCCAACGGATTATGGTGAAAAATAAATGATTTATTTATTAAAAAAAAAAAACACCTGTTTGAAGCTTCCCGTAGACTAGCTTGTATATTGCTTTTAGCATCTGGTAGAAGAGTCCATGATTTGACATTGCTAAAGTTAACTCCTGAACTCTTTAAGGACATGGGTGACTATATAATATTATGGTCTATATTTGGTTCTAAAACGGATACCGCATTATATAGACAGTCAGGTTGGAAACTGACAAATAACACAAATAAAAATATTTGTCCAGTATTTTGGTTGCGTAAAATGTCAGAACTGGGTGAGCAGAACCATTAGAACCCTTATCGCTAACTGGATAAAAACTGTATTTAGGGATGTTGGTATCAAAGCGTCCCCAGGTAGTGTACGCTCCGCTGTAGCTTCGTTGAATTGGTGGGATAATTAACCCATTGATGATATTCTTTCACGGGGTAATTGGCGAAGTGAAAATACTTTTGCAAAATTTTATTTTAGGCAAATTAAAAGCAAACCCGATTTGGCTAATACAAGTAATGCCTTGATTAAAAACTTCGAACCAATTCAATGAAAATGTTTGTCACATCTAATAGGAAATGTCATGCACGTATTTATTTAAAGATCTGTAAGGATAATTTTGTTACATTATTATTGAATACTCGCAAATAATTACTTGAAATATGATAATGTGCCTTAAAACAATTAAATAAAACATTTAAACACACAAGGGCGGGGGATGGTCAAACAAGAAACTTGCTTGATGATCACCTACTCTCAGTATCTGTCCGATACTGGGTTTGGCGAACGGGTTAGGGAGTAGCGCAAGTCGCAAGGATCCCCTAATCAAGGCCAGAGGACTATCCTTCACGAGGTTGCCCCCCGTTTTTGGTCAAATACCTTCTGTAATTGACGTAACAGAAATCTCTGTTCGGACCACAAAATCCCGCATAGCCGAACCGTGGCGGCGCATATCCACACCCGGGCTCACATGGCCTAGGGGCACTAAATACCCCCTAAAACACAAGGAAGCTGAAGAATAGCATAATGCAACGAGACAGTCCCACAGACTACTCTGATACATTATTATGGACTGCAACAGTATTTACTTAATGTTGAAATATGTGGTCTTAGCTCAGTCGAATACATTCATTTTACTTTTATTATTGTTTTATTGTCACACCATGCGATGAGATAGCCCCACAGGCTACTCTGATGCACGTTCGAAAAAACTTATTTCAAGTCAGAAAACAATTGCGACGAGATAGTTCCTTAAACTACTCTGATGCAACATTTTTAACACCATGCGGCAAGATAGTCCCACAGACTACTCTGTACATGATTATCAATCGTTTTATTCAAAAATAACTTGTTTCGAGTTAGTCCCTCAGACTACTCTGATGCAAATAAGTAGGTCACCAGGCGGAATTATCGGAGGAAGACAAAAAAAAAATATATTGTGGGTAGGTAACTTACCATACGAGTTTTCCTGAAGATGCGGTGTGGAAGCTCTAGATAAACGTGAAGACGACCTAGAGGAACGACTAGAAGATGATGAGCTTTATGATAACTTATTATTTTTTCGTCGCGAACGTTTTACTTCTTTTTCTAATTTACGTAACTTTTTTGCAATAATTTCTAAACTAGATTCATTGGAACGTTTCGACATGATTGCGCGAAACCGGTGAACGTGTGAAGTGGTTGAGCACTAAATTGCGAATGAAGCTAAGCGAAATGAGTGGAGGGCGGGAAGCCGTGACAGATTAGGTTGCGTCATCGAGTTTCTTTTTTTTTTAGGTAAACTATTGCGCCAAGGCTGGTGTTGCTATTTGAAAATTATATATTCTTTTTTTTTGTTACTTTGTTTTCTCAACTATAGTGCAGCGGGTCAATTATGCTTTAGTGATATAATCCTAATGTGATGTCAATATGATGTTGATGCTAAGTTGACATTGTTTTAAAATGGTATTATGAAACATTCCTATGTCACATCAATATCATATCCTGTATCACATTTTTGACGTTTATGCGATACTATTTTAAGTTAAAAAGTTGAACGTAATACGCATTTAAGTTGATATCATTTTAAAGAGTTGATCATAATGCGCATAAGTTGATGTCTAGTTGATGTCATTTTGATATTGCATTTTTCAGAGAGCATAATAGGTAATGTGAAATTGACATCAAAACAATATCACAATTAGCGAGCATAATTGGCCTGCTGAAGTGGTGTCACTTACGCGTTACTACATTGTGTTATATATAAATTGAATGTTACTAATCTTGAGGACGAAGCGCGAGTATAATTACTTGAAATATGATAATGTGCCTTAAAACAATTAAATAAAACATTGAATAATGATATGATATTTATTATGTTATATATAAAATATGCACCTAACATATATGTACCAGACATGTTATAGTTTATATTTTATATAAACCAGATTGGTAATCGTCATGACATAGCGTCATCATCATACATACACCAGGAGCTAATAAACACGTCTCTCACAGATGCTGTGCATCGTCACATGCCGATAATAGTATAAGTTTTACATAATAATAAAACTTGTATTATGGAGCAGAGACGATGCACAGCATCCAATTAAGGCCTCCTGGTGAGAGACTTCTATGAGAACACTGCGCACCAACAACTCCTTGTGACTCAAATGGCGCCAAACGGAAGTAAGTCTTTTAAAGTATTAATTTAAAGGAAGTCACCATAGCAACGACAATGGCGGTAAGTAAAATTAACGGAAATCGCTAGACCGGAAGTCGACGCACTCTCACAGATGCTGTGCATCGTCTCTGCTCCTTAATACAAGTTTTATTATTATGTAAAACTTGTACTATTTCTTTTTGCCATTCTATATAGTATTATGGTTATAAATGTTATTATGGTTACTTGGTACTTTAGAAAGATAAAAGAACTGAGTTTTAGGCTACGCTCACTTTGGATACGAATTAGATCGTGCGTAAACGTGTGAACACTGTTCGTACGAATTGAGTGCGCACACTGAATACGTTTTTCTCCGTCAAATAGACAGTACACCGGTGTTAGCGCATACGTGAAGTCATCTTTATCTTTTGGACAATCATCTTCTAAACCGTAGATTGCGACGCCGTCGTCGTTATCGTAGAACCGAATGGGTGCGCGAAATATTTTTAAAAAGAGATGAGTTCGGTGAATTTCATCACATTATGAAAGATTTGTATAACGACCCCAGACTGTTTTATGGTTATACACGCATGGGGAGAGATACTTTTGAGTACATTCTTAATGCAATACGACCTAACCTGACTAAATACAGCAACTTTCGCGACACAATATCACCTGAAGAACGATTAATTGTCACTTTAAGGTAAGAAAGTAAAAAAATGCTTTTTCGATATATTTTTATATAATAATTCTTTATTCAAATGAAGACAGTCGTACATTAAATATTTGAGTCAGGATTGAATTGCATAACATAGTGAGTAACAGCTGATGGTTGTTGTGACATTAAAAAATGTTGTTGCGATTGTCCTAGTGTCGAAGTATTTGGTGACATATTTAATTCATCACTGAACTGAGCCAAATCAGTAGAACTTTCTTTCTGTACCACAGATGAAGCATGAGCATTCTGTTCATCAATAAGTACTTGTTGTAGTCTTGAACGTACAATTAACTTACGATGTTTAGGTATGTCTTTTAAAAATGGGAGGAGACTCATTAGGAACTGTGCATCAGGATCATTCGCACTTTTTTTAAAGTACTGTAATTTCTCCTCTTCAATTTCGAATAGTTTTGCATCGATTTCCTGTGGCTGACTTCTTTTAGCTTTTTTTTTCAATGGAGATTTAAAATGCTTTGGAATTTCTTGGTCACTTTGTTCAGAAGATGGACCAGGTAATGGCGAAGGTGTGTAGTTAGAACTTAAATTTGTATTAACACTATCCTCCCCATCCGAACTCTCATATGTATCTGGCACGTTACCTTGGAGATCCCTTCTGGACATTGTACTTTGGAGGAACATCAAAAGCTGAAAATAAGGCCACTTGGAGAATTGTTCTGCATTGGCTGCTTGGCCAGATTTTTTATTGTTGAGTTTTTTTAGTTCCTTCCCGAAAGTGTCTCGTAGTCCCCGCCATTTTTTTTTTAACTCGTCAACTGAAAATAAATAATAAATAAATCTCTTATTATTACAGGTACTTAGCCACTGGCTCATCATTCAGATCACTTGGATATACATTTAGGATTTCAAACAATACTGTTGGTTATATCGTACATGACACTTGTGTACAACTCTATTTGGGAAAATCTTAATGAAATTCATATGAAATTTCCATCACGTGCAGATATTATTATGGTCAATATAAATAACGACTTTTGGAGAAAATGGCGGTTTCCTAATTGTTCTGGTAGCATTGATGGAAAACATATACGAATAAACGCGCCAAAACATTCTGGTAGTATGTACCGAAATTACAAGTCCTTTTTTTCAATTGTATTGCAAGCTGTTGTGAATGCAAACTACAGATTTATTGCTATAGACGTGGGAGCCTATGGCAAAGAAAGTGACGGTGGAATATTTTCACATTCAAACCTCTCAAGACTATTGGAAAATGGTGCTCTCAACACAAACCAGGAAAAAGTATTACCAGGAACTGATACAGCTTTGCCTCATTTCTTAGTTGGTGACGAAGCTTACCCTCTGAAGACATACCTCATGCGCCCCTATCCTCAAAGAAATTTGGGTCCCGAAGAGGAAATATTTAATAAACGCTTATCAAATGCAAGACAGGTTGTTGAGTGTGCCTTTGGCATTCTGAGTAGTAAATGGAGATTGTTGTTGAAAGCAATTGAAGTAAATCCCAACCGTGCAGATGTTATAGTAAAGTGCATATGTTTACTTCATAACATAATTATTGATAAGGAGGGTATCCACGATTTGCCTACGGAATTACCACAATTACAAAATGAAAACAGAAACCGATTCATGACTGCAGGTGAAAACAGAAGCGCAACGAGAGCTCACAACATCAGGGATACACTCAAAAACTATTTTTGTCAAAATAACAATTGATTTTAAGACAATACTTATCTGTTTATCATAAAATAAAATATAAAATGTACTCACCAGATTTTTCCATTTCTTCGGATATTTCACGCCCTGCCCTACGCTGAATGTCACGTAAGTGATAACTATTATCACTTTGATCCCACAAAGATTTATGTCCGTGAACCAAGTTAATTAACTTTTCTACATCCATTATTATTGATAATTAACGCACGAACGTGTCATAAAATCCCAACAAGTTCGGATTGATTTCGAACGTCGGACGTGCACGTACGTATACGTACGACTAACTCGCGCGCAGTGTGAGCGCTTTAATAGTACTCAGAAGGTCGGGAATGTTCGTGCGTGTTCGTACGTGTTCGCACGACTCAAATTCGTACGAAAACGCGTGCAAAGTGAGCGCAGCCTTACGCTCTATAGCTTTCAAAACCGAGACATAAAAATGATTGTGGTTTGAATTTGTAATAAAAAGAAAAAAACTTGTTATTTTTAATGTTTAATTTCTGAAGAAATCAGGAATTTCTCAAAAAAGTTATGTTCATCCTATTAGAAAGGGTAAAAAGGCCTTTGTTACAATCTCTCACTCGTCCGTTGTAGCGGTAACAGTCATCTCATCAGTCCTATAATTATAGCACAATACTTATGGCACAATGAAACTGTTTTTTCGGTAAATCAAATCACCAATATTATTTCCATTAACAAATTTGAAAATACCTATTCATTTTTGTAAAATACAATTTAATAAAAATCGTTAAAATAAAATGTATCCGAACTCATGACGTTAGCGCACTCAATTTTTTGACGTCACTGACATGTGTATGACAAAAATGGTGCCCGTTTACCAGCTGGCATTTATTCTTTAGCGGAAAAATATAATTTTAGTGCGAAACATTTTAGTATGGCGACTGTTCTTGATTTAGTGAAGCATTATCAACATGCAATTGAAAAATATCCCAACGACGAACAAAGAGTAAGTATTTTCCTTTATTACATCTGTTGATGGCGTTTTTCCTTATTTTTTCCAAATTTCAGAACATACGTTTATTATTACCATGTTCTGGTAATTACTAGGTACGTAGTTAAAATGTCGAGTCAAAATTAACATAATAAATTATCGCACTTTTCCGATTGGAAGGAAATGTTTATTTGTAAGGATCAAGTAGGTATATGGTACCTTCTGATTAGGTTGCTGCTCGGTAACTGATTAAAGTGATTTTGGTTCTATATTTCCTAATTTAACCGTAAATATAGTTAGTATGAATCGCAATGAAAAATACAAGTTTATGTTGCCTACTTTATTTATCTAATATGAATTGTGTTCTCCTAGAACACAATACATATTTTAATTATGTTTGAGTTTATATAATAACCATGAGTTACTATTTGAGAGAGTATTGTTTGCAAGTACTTTATACAAATAAATGATAACTATGTTTTATTTGAAGTACATAACCTTAACATTGCAATGACTGAATAAGAAAATATGTGTATTCAAAATTATTATATAGAAAGCATGAAAATATAGAATGCAACAAAACAAAAGGTTCAACATTCATAGCCTATTAAAGTGAAAGTATCTTAAAAAATTTAACATAGTAACACGGGTCCTGTGATTGTGTAATTTCAGGTTTTAAAGAGTATAGACAAGTTATTCAATCTTGATGTGACTGTACAACATCTACAAGATACTGGAGTAGGCAGGACTGTTAATGCGCTGCGCAAGGAACCAGGAAATGTAGGGCAAGCTGCTCGTGCACTTGTGTGCAAATGGAAACTTATGGTAGCAGCAGAGGAAAGTGACCATGATGGAGACCAAAACCCTGACAGTGAGACAACTGATAATTAGTTTTTATCAAAGATGCATTGAGTAAAATATCACCTCGAATTCTAACCTTTTACAAAACTATTGTTGGTTGTGTTTGTTGCGATTAAGTATACCTGTAGCTTTTTGGTAAATATTCATTGAGATTAGTATTCATAAAAAAGGAAACAATTCCAAGCAATGCATGTTGACAATTATATTTTGTAACTTATTAACATTTGTAATGGATGATTGTTTATAATTCTGAATTATGTTATTGAAACATAAATTGACCAAGTATTTTAAATAACTGCATCATAGTTTTAAAATCTCATCAATTTTATTTTCTGACATATAAAGTATGCAATTCATATTAGATGTGAAGATATTTTTTTATTATTAAATAAATTTTATTTATATTGAAATTTTTCATATTCCCAAGGTAAATTACCTTAATGTTCAAAAACATTAAAAGTCTCACTAAGCAGTTCCTATAAACGCTTAATATTGCTTTTATCCTTTATTATATTGGATTGAGTTGAAATTTCTATACATAATTAAAACAAAAAGTATGTATCTCAAAAGCAGCCTAAGCCAATATTTAATTGTCTGAAATATTAAATGGGTAAATGTTAAAAACAACATTGAGTATAAAATGCTTAAATAATGGACTATTGATTAATTAACTTCGCCATTCGAATTCACTACAGGAAACTAAAAACAAAGTAGACCAATTTAGGCACTTAATTTATAAATAAATGCTTTTATTAATAAATATTCCTAATAATTTTATATTTAAATGTCTTAAAATTCTATCTAAAAATTATTTGTGCCCTCATTCTGATGTCTGAATATTTTGTTATCTTTGAATTTTCTATGTTTATTAAGGGCTAAAAGCAGTTTTATTGGAAGGTCTATTTTATTAATCAAATTATTTTTGATTACTTTAATGTTTATTTATTGTGGACTTTATTAAATATTTGATTTTATTAAATATTTTATTTATTCAGCTAATAATTATAATGGGCATGATAATGGAAGAGATTCTGATGACAATGTTAAAAAAAGTTCAAATAACAAGCAAGACTATAATGAGAGAGCTTTGTCTAAGGCAAAATCTGAATATAAACAAGAAAATGGGCATCACAGTGGAAATAAAAGGAAAAATCACAGCAGTGAGGTTAGTATGTTTTTAAAGAAATGGCTGGATAGCCTTCTCTAGACCTATTTATAGGATTTTCTTAGTCGACAGCCTAAAATACACATCATATCATTACAATGAAAAATCAAAGGGAATATTAAATTTGTATTTTAATGGCAACAGTCTTGCAAAATAACTATTAAAATGAAATAAAATGCTTATATTCAAATTAAGACTCTGAACCATTCATCGTCATCAAAATTATTTTAAACCTAATGAAACACTAAGGTCTTTCATTAACATAAAAGCTCATATTTTCCACATCATCATAATCTAAATAGCCCCATCAATGTAGCGGTACACAACCACAGACATAATCTGTAGTCTTATCTTGTGTAGAACTATTTAGAATGATAAGAGTAACTTATAACGGTATTCCCAAATAAAAATTACACAAATATTGGGTATTTTTGCTTTAGTAAACAGAAATATAGGTATGGTTTATATTATTTATTTATTTTGCTAATTATTTTTCATTTAAATAAATGACAAGTATTTTTGTTAATTCCATTATTGATCTTTAATCCAAAGGAGGAAGAACCAGATGTAAAAAAAAGTAAAAGCTCCAGCAGCAATCATTACAATCAACAAAAAGCAAATATGCAAATAAAAAGGGAGTCTACTGAATCTGGAACTGATGATTCTAGTGATCAATCGCACAGTGAATCTGATATGTCTGAATATTCTGAGGACGAAAAACCTACAAAAAAACAAGTGAAACAAGAGCAATCAGATCACTACAAATCTAAACACTCTTCTTCTTATAAAGATTATGGAGACCACAGAAAAGATTCTTCTAGCTCAAAACAAACACATGATTCTGAAAAACATGGGAAAAGTAGAAGTCATTCAGAATCTATTGAGACAACATCATCTGAAAAAACATCAACAAAAGAAAAATCTCATAGTTCATATAAAAGTAAAAGTTCAAAGGATAAGGAAAACAGCACAGAAAAGAGTTCCAAGACAGACCACAGTTCATCAGGAAAAGATAAACACAAAGAAGAGCCTAGTTCCTCAAAACACAGAAGTAGTTCTGATAAACATAAATCATCAAAATCTGATAGTAGTAATGAAAAACACAATAGTAGCTCTGATAAGTACTCTGAGAAAACTGAAAAGATCAAAAGCTCCAGTTATTCCCACAAATCAGACAAGGACAAAAGTAAGAGCTCTTCAGGAAAAGAAACATCTATTGAAAAAGAAAAGTGTAAAGAAAGTCGTAGTTCTAAGGAAAAACATAGTTCCTCTAGTAAAGAAAGGTCAAAAGATAGAAGTAGTTCTTCTAAAGAGAAGTCAGAGAATAGTCATAAGAGTGAGAAAAAACATTCATCTAGTGATAGTAAATCAAAGCATAGTGAGAAGAAGCATAAGTCTGAAAAAAAAGATGAAAGCAACAGTGAATCTAAATCAAAACACAAGTCTAGTTCATCTTCGTTGCATGCAAGCAAATCCAGCAAAGATAAGTCGAAGGAGGATATACCAAAGAAAAAACCCGAGCGCAGTGCCGACAGCGATGATGGCATCAACTGTGAATCAGGTAAACAAATGCAGTACCAAGCTCATTTTAATAATCCAACAGAATACAGACTATGCGATTGCATCTGTGGCATTATATTTACTAGGGCGTAAAGTTAAACATGTCTTTTAACAGATAACAGAATAAGCAAATCCTAACCTCCTAGTAATAAGGTTATTCTGTGGTTTTGATCTTACAAAAAACTGGCAAAGTGTTAGTCGGACTCGTTCACGTAACGCTGTGGTATGGGAGCCCCCAAAAATATTTTTTTTATTCTGTTTTTAGTCTGCTGATTTAGCAGCAACAGAAATTCATTATCTGTGAAAATTGCAACTGTCTAGCTAACACGATTCAGCAGACAGCTTGGTGACAGACAGACAGTAGAATTCTTGTAATAGGGTCCCGTTTTTACCCTAAAAAGTGTATCATATTTATCAGATATATTAGAAATCCTCTGATCATTTTTCACTGCATTTTAGGTGCCAGTTTTGCTGAAGCCTTGGGCATGATAAGTCCTGTAAAGCCGAAAAAGAAAGTTAAATCTCAATTGAAAGATGTGGTTTCACCAAATTTATCGAACAGTGATGATGTAAGTATACAGTTATTATGGTTCCAGAAAAAATAATTTGTATACTTTTAGTGTCAATGCGAAAATTACTCAGTCTAGGGTCAGTTTTCAACGCAAAATTTAATTATTACTTGGGTAGTAATGTTAAGTAACTAAATATTTTTATGGCCACCATTTGTATTTTTATTGCCAACTGAAAAAGTGCGCGCTGTGTCTTGTCTACATTGAACTGACCTTGATTAAGGTCACGTTTTTGCATCGATAATAATATTTGGGACTGTAGTGAATACTACGTCAAATACATTGTAAATGTGTCAAATTTTGACAAATGGTTATTTTTTCTATTATAATTTAACTATAGTAAAATTTTACAATCGATGATACAACGCGGACTTAGCGATAAAACTTCAGATGTTAATCACTTTGACACACACAGAATTTTTTGAAATTTGAACCCGCACCCGCTACACCCGGATAGCGGATGCGGGTTCAAATTTCAAAAAAATTCAGATGCACTGACCAATTATGCTACTGCGACCTTGATGACCGTGTCGAATTTCTTCTAGAATCTTTAAGGCAAGGTGGCAGTGCCATCTCTTCGCATTATAGGTAACCCACAATAGTTTAGTTAATCATTTATATTATCATCACCAGCTTAGCCCAGCATCGCTTCTGGCGCCCACAGCGAAGTTAGCGCCATTACCAGCTCTGGAAATATCAGCGTTGCCGGAGATCTCGCCAAACTATAAACCGCGGCCCCCACCTAAACTGTTACCGCACTTCACGGAAGAGGAAGCCATGAGTGCTGTCATATCTTCGAAGAATCAGAGGTTGGTACCTATAAAAATTTCTGAAATTATCCTAATAAAGTAAGTCCTAAATATTTAAATAAATATTTCTAGCATACTAATTAGCCTAGGCCGAAAAGAAAATACTCAGCATTGGCACTCTAAAGTAATAGATATTTTTCTAGAAATATATATAAACAGCCCATGACTTAGATGCAAATGCTCACAATCAATATTCAAACATTGAAGTCTAGATATGATAACAACTGATAAAGTAGTAGTAGCTCTGATTTGACTTAAGCAGGTTACAAATTATTTGACTACTTGACTTTATGGTAAGATTGAAGAGAATCACTGTTCGTTCCATTCGCACATGATCCCAGCCAAAACTATTTCTTTGGCCAATATCGAGAGCCAAATGTCGCGATGTTTGTTCTGTTATCAGTGCAATACGAAGAAGCCTCATGATCAGCCTTTTCATGACCCTTCTTCTGGGGCACAGGGCTACTCTATGGATGGAGTAGGAAGATTGAACTATGATGCGCGGAATGATGCATTCGATCGGTGCATACAGATACAGCCGGCGCCAACGGCTAAAGGCCATAGCTCACCTTAACCACCCGGCACCCGTACCCTTAGTACGAGTTTCAGCTCATGAAAACTATCATAGATTTCGTAATTATTAATGATATTTCTATGTCCATTTTGGTGAAAAGTAACCAAATGCCGGGTAGTTAAGGGCAGCTATTACCTTTAACATGCCTTGCCTAACATGCATAAACAGCGCCGGAGGCTCTTAATGTTAAGTTTCTGGTCACCCATCCAATGACCGGCCATTGCGAAAGTTGCTTAATTCCCATGATCGCAGACCAAACGCGCTAACCAACTGCGTTATTGTGCTTCCTTTTTAATACTGGTTGAGACGAGGATGAGGTCCTGAGGGATAGTATTAGCGTCATAGGCCATCTTTAAGATCCTACGTTTGATTCTGGTCGTGAAGATGTAAAAAAAGATGTTTTTATATGGGGAAGAAAACTCAAAGCTCATAAAAGACGGCGTTTTGTCCGTTTGGCCTATAGCAAGCAACCTGTCACTTCAAGGCTGCGTTCAAAACCTACGCTCAAGTTGCACTCACATTGCAACTTTTAACCCAGATTTTTAAATTTTTACATAAAATGTATGACACTTATGTTAAATTTGATATTTATTGCACCTGGAGCGTAGGTTTGGAACGCAGCCCAAGTCTGTTGGAATTTGTCGGTTCTCCTTGTGACTGACAGCTCGATTGTCGGTATGGGCGATTTGACACCTGCGCCTCTGGCGGGATAAATTGGCAAGTTCTACTATGTTTCCCATTATCTTGAGCCTTGGTGACTGTGGTACTCCTTGATTGTTCATGTTTTCTATAACACAAGTGCTTTGACTACCTACTTTGCTCAACCTTGTATCAGACCAATAAGATAGTATCAGAGCAGTATTATGTGATGTTGTTCAATATAATTTCAGAACGAAGGTGTACTCTGGTAATAAGGTTATAGGGAAGATCCCAACCTTATACGAGATGTGTGTACAAGTTCTACAGGAACACATAGATGGTAAGTAGATAGTACGTACTTTTGTAAATATATTCAGTCGGTTATTATTTTAAACATATTACTATAACGGATATCTCTAATACGTAAATTAATTTAAATTTAATTATTTCGTCGATTGCAGTATATTAGTCACTTTCTTTGCGATAAACCTTCTGTATGAAAGGAATAGGAAGAACAGGCTATGTCCCACCATGTGGTTCTAATGTAGATTGAGGGGTGCTAGCGACTGTTGATGCAGCCGGGACCAACGGTTTAACAATATAATACAATACAAAATAAAAACTCCTTATTGTACACCACGAAAAACATTGAACATTAAGCACAAAACTATCTAGTACAAGTGATGCAATGGGCGGCCTTATCGCTTAATGCGATCTCTTCCAGGCAACCTTTGGATGGAGAGGATTAGAAGGAAGTGGGAGAGACGGCGGTGTAAATCGCTAGTAAAATATTTATGTAATTAATTATAGTAGTATCAGTAATAAAATATATAATAATATATTAATAAATACATACATTGATCTAGTCCACTTAGGAGTTAGTTGTAAGCACATGAGATATTAAAAAAAACAAAAGTATTACAATGTCGGATACTGGTGATTCACAAGATTTTTAAATGCATGAATAGTTTCTGCACGTCTGTTCAAAAACGGATGAGAATTCCATAGATGTAGCTTGCACTGCAAACGAACAGTGGAAAAAACGTTTAATATCCTTCCTAAAATTTTTTGTCGCCCAACCTAAAGCACGAGGCGCTCGATACGATAAATTTTTGTTCACACATCCTATGCCCAGCCATTGAAAAAGTGACTTCTACGATCGCAGACTGAATTATGGTGCCATTCAAAATCAAAATCTAAATGGTTTATCCCGTTTACGCTGTTACAAAGATTCATGAATGTCTGGAGGCTACGCCATCAGTTTGTAAATCTACGGCGTCCCTACCTTGTACTAAGAAGAACTGGCAAGAAACTCAACAAGGGCTCTTTTTTTCTCCCTGAATTGTTATGTATGAGATGATTAATGAAATCACCTGCCATTACATAATGTGAAATGTGCAATCATTGTTCACCTGCATTTTGATTGCACTGTCATACAGTATAAACACAAAGTGTTATTTATTTTAAGTATACATAATTATATAGATTTGACTTTGTGCTCCAATTGTAACATAACTTTGGTAATTTGAAATGATACAATTGCAAGTATTAGCTGATTTAAGAGATTATAAAATGACCTAATGACCCTAATTTCGAAAAAAAAAACAAATGTCGAGGCGAGTTATATAGTGAATAAGGACACTATAATTTCACATAATAAGGACATATTGTTCTTAAAGATAAATATAATTATGAAACCAATTAATTTTAAAGAAAAGTTTACTAGAAAAAAAACCCACGCGGACAGGCAACAGACGGGACCGCGTGAATTTTTTAAACATATAGCAGTTCAATGATTAAAAAAATAAAAACATAACCAATTCATTTTACTAAATCTTTTAAAGATTCTGTCAAATAGCGGTTTTTGTATGTTAAAAATTATAATAAATTTAATGGTTTTCAACATGAAATAAAAAGTTTCCGGAACCATTTTCTATTGTACGACCATAATTTAATATGATTTTGTAAAATTTTAAATGTACGTTTCGAAATTACCGATTCTGAAATTTTAGGACAAACTGCACTGCACGTCTGTAACGACAATGAAGAACAATAATAATTATTTGTTTAGAACTAACTTCGAATATGAAACATCATGGGCGCACAAAATGTCAAAACAAGCCTATTCTTTTGATGACTGTAATTTTTCCATGCAGGCGAAGTCGCTCGTACGCATTATTTATATAAAAGTGTAACAGAAATATAACACACCCTGAAAGTAGTTGTTTACTAATGTACAGATGAATCAATTTCAGTGATATTTATTTAATGAGTTTTACCAGTGGTATATCAATGTTAGTATTTTAAAACGTTTTATGTTGTATTATGTATCATATTCTTTTATTGAGAAGAACGTCACATTTTTTTTTTCTTTTTTATTTATTAAAATACATTTATAAATACCTCCTGTTTTATAGAAATCGATTTAGGAGCTAACTTCAACAAAGTACCTTAGGGGGTTTCTTTATTTCTGGTACAAATTGTATATAAGCTTGGTAATCTTTTCAGCCCTTGAATACACGGGCGGCGTGCCATATGATATCTTAAAACCCGTTGTGGATAGAGCCACTCCACAACAATTGTTCATGCTAGAACATTATAACCCGTACCTGATGGAAGACACCGATCACCTGTGGCACAAGTTCTGCGAGAAAAACTTCAGAAGCAAACAGAGGCAGGAGTTGGAGACGTGGCGGGAAATGTATATGGTGAGTGCGATGTTCTTATAACTAAAATAGGTTGTCTAAAAGGCGGCTAGATTTCCTAATGGGGTATTGTAGGGCTCCAAAGGAGAGCCTTGGACAGCGTAGCATTAGAGGACAGGAGCGATTACAATCAAACACAATGTTGTATCAATGTTTATTACTTTATTCAATTGCTCTCTAATGATATCGCATAACTTAATGTTCAAATTACAACCGTTTCCTAAGCGGGCCGCAGACACAAGATTTTCTTTTTTTATATTAATCGTCAATTATATTCAAATTATAAGTATTCTACTAGCTGCCAGCTAAGAACTCGGACTTGGTTGAGTTCAGTGAAACTTGTTCTGCGTGAAACAGTATTATAGCCTCTATCAATAGGGATGATGACAATTTTTTTAAGGTAAATTATCTAAAAGTATTGGACACGTATTATTTTACATAAAAAATATTACAGAGATATATTGATTGTAATGTCGCATTGTCATATAAAAAATAATGGTTTAAAGGGAAAGACAAAATTGTGTTATAAAGCAATATGGATAATCGAAATAAAATTAAAAAGTAGTCGGGCGCCAGACCTACCTTAATAGACTCGCCGGAAGGGCATTGAACTATTAATCACAAGGGAAGCAAAATCCAAACCCACTTTGGGCTGTCTATACATTAAAATTTCTAATTATTTGCCAATGATTTTTCTTGAATTCAGAATCTAGCTCCAATTATCATCTTATATTTATAATCTTCACGTAAATTTTACATAATGGAATAATTTTCTCTTACTGGATAAATTCCTTTTTAGTGTAAATTTACATGCCCTTACTGTCTCCGCTGCATCTTTATTATGAGTTGAGTTGAATGTATGTGAAAGTAAGAGCATCGCTTCCTTGTAATGACAAAAGATTATAGCATTGCCCAATATAACATTTTCTTTAGTATAAAAAAACGCCTACGGCTGAAAAGAAACAGTTGGCAGATTATAAATTTAGTTTTCGTAGACCTGGAATTTGTTTCTCTACTGTATAAAACTGATTTATTTTTCTTCTTATCACTCCTAAATTAAAATCATCAACTTGTAATTTCTTCTGGTCGCCGCGGAGAGCAAAATTTTGCTTCCCCTGTATTTTGCAAGGAAGTTTTACTTTCAGCAATCACTCTCCTTACACTTCTTTCTGATATCCCTGTTGCTACTGCTATTAATTTATTTAAATTCGTATCAGTTTTATATTCTACTATTGACATCGGTTTTGCCGTTTTTTAAAAAACGTATGCACTCTAAATATTATTTTAAATTTTTGATTAGATTGTCTTTTTATCGGCGGACTCATCTCGCTATTGCAATCTCATGTGCGTTTTGTTTGAAGTAGCCGGAACATTCAATGCGTGTTGCCGTCGCGAAGTACGGCGCCAAACTGAGTAGTGACAGTAAGTGCCCCCGCCTCTCCGTCCCACCCAGCGTTGCCAGATACTCTGTAATTACAGCAGATCTACTGTATTTTCACACGATCTACTGTACACTGTAATACTCAAATTACAGTGTATGGAGAACACTGTAATTTTTCTAAGGGCTAAAATCTTTTCGGAGAGCGTTCGAGAATGAGTTTAAAACTTACCGGGCTATTTTTCACCGGATCTAGAACGCACTCGTACTTTAATGTAAGTAAACTGAAGGCAGCCTTTGTAAAAAAAGATTATTACGAACTTGTCGAAAGTTCCCCGTCCCGCGCCACCTCTCTGCTTATGATACAACTCTTGTTACTATTGAAATAAGAACGGAAATGTCTTATTTTAAACGGACATGAATAGTGGCGCGGTGTATACTATGCGGGAATTCCCCGGACGTAGACTAGGAATCATTTCGTAGAGTACGTACGTAGTATTAAGCGCCCAAATTTTGTCAACCGTGTTTAAGCACAAGTTGCATTAATGTTAAACCATTTCATTCGGGGATCTACAAAAAAGAAACTGCTGTCGGGCTAAATGATTGTAACAGTGATTAATAAGTGGTTGGTTAGTCAACTAGAAAGTGTATTTTCATTTAAATGTAAACAATATAAGTTTCTTGATATCTGCTGTAAAATTTACTGTATATTTTTTTACTTTTACTGTATTTTTGTCTCAAACACTGTATTTTTTGCACCCAACACTGTAATATCAGTTTCCTCATCTGGTAACACTGGTCCCACCTCTCACATACCTAGGGCGCGGCCAACTAGTTCCGCGCGCACTATTATAGCACATGGAACAAAACAAAAGAAATTTCGAAGGTTCTCATCGTTTCTTTAAAGAAATTAAACAAACAGGCTGACAGCCATCATTACAGCTAACTTATGTGTGTCCAGCTAAAACAAAATCTACATGTAAATTACTTACATGTAATTAATTGTATTTAAAGGAAAACACTTTTTGAATTTATAAAAACACTTACCATTAAAAAACATTGTAATCTTTTAAGATTATTCAATATTCAATAAGATTCTCATGTTCTTCTTCTTTTATAATGGCATGACGGCTAAATTCTCATGTACCTACAATGTAAAAAATTTGGTCGTCAAGTACCGTTTTTATTTTTTCCTTTTGTTCCTTCCAAAAGGCAAGGAAAGAAATCGGTCTAGATAAAGCCTCGCAAGCCACAGAAAATAAAAATACGCATGGACTAGCGAAAACGATCTATGGTAAAGGAGAGCGAGTAAGAGACAACCTAAAAGGAGGCCTTCTCTCTCTCTCTTCAAAAAAAACTCATGAGACGTTTTTAACACGTTATAGCATGACGTCACGTCTGGCTACAATTTTTACTTAGAAGTGACGTTACGAGCCCCCACTCCCAAACATTGACGCGCTATATCTTTGTAATTTTTTGGTTGATTGCCAAAAAAAAAGGAAAAAAGGATATTTTTTTGGTAATCTGACGGCCTAAATAGAATTTCGTTTATTTTACCCCTTCATCACCCTTATTTCTATACAGTTAGATCGAGACACCGCTGCGAACGGTGTCCCTTTTCAACTGCTGTTCTTTTTTTGGTTGCTTGTTGGGGTGGTTATACCCACCACGTAACGACATTGATTTAAACTAAATGTTAATGTTTATATTTTGATTTTTTTAATAGCAAATACCAAAATGAACTTGAAGTTTATATCAATTTTCTTACTTGAGACTACCAGGTCATATCATTTTAATGCATAATTTCGTGATATTTATACATCGCTTGCGAGATCGACAGAGCGTCAAACAGATATACAGGGTGTTACAAAAATACAAATAAATCTTGAAGGGCGTTGAAGTACACCATTTAAGGAATCTTCTCTAATTTTCTTTATTACAGCAGATTTATTACTACTCCAGGTAAGGTGCATGACCTCGAACTAGTGACGTGTCTTAAAATGATCGATATTATTATTAATCATTAAAAATAACTGTTTTTATAAAAAGTACAAATTTCTTGCAAATATTTAAAAAAAAATAGAGAAGACTCCTTATATGATGTACTTCAACGCCCTTCAAGCTTTATTTGTATTTTTGTAACACCCTGTATATATATATAATACCGTCACATTTGGCACACATTCAAAAAAGGAAATTTTGCTACAAATATTACATCTGAGGCCAAAGCACGGATTTTGACAGCTCCATAATAGTATCCAATCATCAATTTTTTTGCCATCGTCAATTTTTTTATGGAAAAAGTGATGGGGCCTCTGGTGCAAACAGACCAGGAAATGCTCATTCAATAAGTTGCACGAAGAACTTACTGCTCTAAACATCGCTTATTAATTATTTCAGAGGTGTCAAGAGGAACAAGAGCATCGGTTAAAGTCACTCACTGCCAATATTAAAATAGCCCAAGAGAAAGCTAAAGCGCCCATAAAACAAACGAAGATGGCTTACGTGGACACAGTCGTCAAACCGCCACGGAATGTTGCCCGTAAACAGGTAATGTCAGTAGATATTTCATCATCATGAGCCTATTAATGTGCCCACTGCTGGGGCACGGGCCTTCCCTATGGATGAAACAGGGAGATTGTACCGTGACCAACACGGGCCTAGTGTTGATTAGTGGGTGCTAACGACTGCAGTTGCAGCCGAGACCAACGGCTTAACGTGCCTTACGAAGCACGGAGGAGCTCAAGATAGTAAATTTTTGGTCGCACATCCAATGACCGACCACTGCGAAAGTTGCTTAACTTCAACGATCGTATCCGAACGCGCCGGAAGTAAAAGGAGTTGGAACTAACTAATAGATGTTCCTTAATGGTGTCCTGATGAAATATAGCTGTAATAAGATGATGATTAATGCTTTCATATCATTCTAATTTGTTGGGTAAGAACCAATTAAAATTAGGGGGGGGGGGGGGGGAATATTACCGTATCTTCTCTTTTTGTTTTAATTTAAGAAGATTATGAGGTGTTAAGTGAGTTAGAAGATTAAAACAAAAAGGGAAGATACTAGCTAAAATCTATGAAGATTCAAACAAAAAGGGAAGATACGGTACGCTCATACTAGCATCAAATAAAATATACTCCGACTCAACTACAAAAGCAACTCTCAAACACGCACACTTCTGTAAATAAACACTCAATCAAGCGAGCGAGACAGAAATGTACGCTTCAGTAGTCAATCTGTCGTAAAAAAATTGTTTCGGTGAAAAAAAAACCTAAAGGGTAAGTCTTGTTTTTTTTTGTTGCCAAATGACGTCAGTAAGCCACCTTGACGATGGGCATGTTCAACTCGTAGGCGTTTTCTGAAAAACTCAAAAAGAACCTCAAAAAATTTTTGGAACGCATTTTTCTTGTTTTCTATGCATTTTATTTTTTCGATCATAATTGTAGAGGGCGTTGAGTACTACAATTTATGTCATTGTTGCAATCTCGTACAACAAAAACTGCGTATTGTAGGTGGCGCTAAAGTCTCAAAAAAAGTGTTTTTTCACTTTTTCACCCTGAAAATATAATTTTAATGGAAAAGTTGTTCCGTACATAATTACCAACAACTTTTGTATAAACAATTTTTTTGTATTACTTACCGTTTTCAAGTTATAAATTGCGCAGGTATGAAAAATCCAATAGAGATAGATAGAAATAATAGGTTTTGGGCAGTTCAAATACACATTTGCAGTGCACATTTCAATGTACGTTTTACTATTTTTTATTTTATTTTTCATGATTGTAATAATTTCGATTTGTTATTGACATGAAATATCGACAATTAGAGCTTTGGATTCATTTTCTTGCATGAATTAATTGCAGGAACAAAAGTAGTTGATAGAAAAATGATTATTTTGTCGAACATAGGAGATAAAAATTTATTAACTTATTTCCTGCTGTTAATGCGTCCGAGCAACATATGGAAAAAAAATTATATCAGATGTGCAACTTGAATTAATACCATTATAATCGCTTCAAAGTTTAATAATAAAGTTTAACTCCAAGAATATGAATTTAAAACAACATGTTTTTATAAACAATTGTAATCGTTATAGCAAATAAATCAAAAAGATTATTATTGTAAGAATTTTATAAATCAAATGTTTATTGCTAAATGTATACATATATCAAAATATCGAAAGGTATGTTAATAGGTGCTGTTGCAGAAATGAATATATAATATATCATTTCTTGGAAGTTCGTAGTTTCTTTCTCTGTGGCTCTGGAGTTTCGGTTCTAGTGAGAGTAGTACTCGTGTTACTTGTGGACGATTCTTTATCACTATTTTGAGACATTGGATTACTGATATTTAGTGAGAATCGCTTCGATGAAAAGTGTACGACTTGAGAGGGAAAGTCCAAATCATCATCGTCAAGAAAAGTGTCTTCTTCCACCTCGATCTGTGGCACGTTACTGTACTGTAACTTGAAAACTGTAAGTAATTTAAAAAAATTGTTTATACAAAAGTTGTTGGTAATTATGAACGGAACAACTTTTCCATTTAAAGTTTTCCATTAAAATTATATTTTCAGAGTGAAAAATAATTAAACTGTAATAAATTAAGACGAAACTACGCAGAAAGGTATAAAAATGAGTAAAGTAAATCGGAGTGGCACGCAGGAAGTGATATTTAAAGTTTTCCAGCGATGTTTCGAAGACTACCAAGCTGGACGAATTTTGTGGGATTTGGACGATGTTTATGGGCGAACAGCATCTATGACGGGTATGTAATCGTGTAACTATTTGTTTGTAATCTGTCTGAAGTTACAAATTTACTCAATTTACGATTTTGAGACCATTGTTTACATTGCACATTTTTAGGATAGATTGACATTGTAAATAGGTAATATTGTAGTAAGACCATTTCTTTTGATACGTTATTATGGTTCAACTCGGTCAGGTTTTCTACCAATTTTGAATTAATTGCTTCATGTCAATAAGTTATTGTTTCTATTCCGTTACATATTTTTTTACCTTTTTTCAGGAAAATCAGAGAGTCGGATAGTCAACGAAGGTTTTAAGAATGATGGAAAGTTTGAAACTCCTGAGAAAACAGGCAAGGCCGACCAAAGAAAGAAATGGTCACATAAAGAACCATGGCCAGATGCTTTTAGTAAAGATACCTATCACTAATATTACTAACTGCACATTTACAAATTGTTTGTTTAAATAAACTTTTTATATACTATAAAATGATTTTTAGTATTATTTTCTTAACAAGTGTGTTAAAAAACGTCGTATGATGATACGTCTGTGTATTGATGATTACCTAACGGCTCTGGTCTCAATGGCACCTCAGCGGTACTCACCATCATTACACACTTTTACACTATAAAGTACTATTTTATCTATAATAATTTTATTCTGATTTAATTAAATATGCTTGGCTAAACTTTTTATAAGCATAGGTACTATATATAAAACAGAAACAAAATACGACTGTATAGTGTGTCTTATTAATTACCTATTTTACTTGAATGAACTGCTAGTATCAAAATCATTTTGGTCCGACTGTATAGGGTTGCTACATGCATACTAGTGGCGCCATCATTTAATGTCACGACTTTATAGACAAACTGTACAATGCGCATTTTTTGTTGTACGAGATTGCAACAATGACATAAATTGTAGTACTCAACGCCCGCTACAATAATGGTCAAAAAAAAAGTTTCTAAAATGCATACAAAACAAGAAAAATGCCTGTCTAAAAATTTTTTAATGGTTTTTTGTTTTTCAAAAAACTACTACGAGTTGAACATGCCCATCGCCAAGGTGGCTTACTGACGTCATTTGGCAACAGAAAAGACAATACTTACCCTTTAGGTTTTTCTTTCACCACTCAACCTACAGATTGACTGTACTACAACGCAGCGCAAGCGAACCGGCGAGTCTACGTTGCTTAACAACCGACTGCGTTTTCTTTTATGTCTTTAAAAACGGCTGAGCGAGCTGTGTTGTTGTCCTTTTTGGATAACAAATGACGAATCAGTTGAATAATATTCATGACGACGACAAACCGTGATTGTTGAGAAAAAGTGTTTTTATAGTTTTACGAATGAAAAGTGTTGCCTTGGAATTTGTTATTTGATCTTAAACTATTTGTGTTCTTTTTAAAGGCATCGAAGCATTGTTTTACCTTTATAACACAGTGTGTAATATTGTTATATTGAGTGCACACATGCAGCGTGTGTGGATGTCGAATTGTGTTCATGCACCACAATTTAGGCGGTACACTTTTGTGCCGCGAGTGTCGTATCTTCCCTTTTTGTTTGAATGTATGGTTGGGTCTATATCAGGTGCTAAATTATAAGTTCACGCAGGCATTGCACGGCACCGCATTTGCTGCGTCCGCGAGCCCGGCGGCGAGAGTTTCATCACTAGCGAGCGCGCCCAACGTGATGCGTGGCAACACGCGGCCCACACTCGCCGCGCCGCAAGCTTTCAACAACAAGCCCAAGAAGGCGCCGCTCATGCAGAAGGCGCTGCAGTTCATGCGCGGCCGCAAGCGATGATGACGCCGCGTCTGCACCCGCGACCGGTACGTGACAACAAATCGGGACTGACTCAAACTTGACCTTTTTTTGTATTTAGACAACATTAGATTACCGTCACTAGCTACAATCTTAAGTTTAACGCCCTAAGTGTGTAAACGTGAAAATCGTTCTCATACATTCTCGACAGCTCGTGCATTTCATCCCAATGCTAGCGTCGAGCGCACGCGATTATCGTCTTTGTTGTATTATAATGTTGCCGCAAGCGATGTTGATTTGAATTTATGTCAATACTTAAGAGCCCTTTTACAAAATTGCGTCGCTGCCGTACTGATAGGCGCGTAGGTAGATTTGCACTAGTATATATTGCATTTTACGGGTGATGTTTCGAGTCTTATAAAATAATTATTAATGAACTAATTGTAAAAATATATACATATTTCAGTAGTTCAATGATGGTAGATTAGTTTTATGAAAGTGTTTGATAGTAATTCTATTTAATTCAATATCAAAATACGAGGTAAACCTGCATTATTTTTTGAATAAAAACTCACGGAGGTTAGATGTTTTTTTGAGACAATTAATGAGATGGAAAATCAAAATTCTAATACATTATATTACAACAAAAATGTATTTTTGATGTCGTAGTAATTAATTTCTTCAGTCTTCAGTATAATTAAACAAAAATAATTCTTTCACCCATCAACAAGGCTGTAAGGTACGACGTCCTTAGTCCATGAAGCATCTCGGTGACAGCTGTCACTGTCAATTCATAGCGTTTGCAAATTTTACTGGTAAAACATGCAAAAAATTACAGGGACAATAATAATCTATTTTTACATTAAATTAAAGAGTTTTCCACGTTTGTGAAAATCGCCAACTACACACATCAAAAGTGTCTAGGGATCAAGCATTTTTATGCGGATTTCTTGAGATTGAGATGTGGCTTTGTAATAAATTTATGATTTTATAAATTTATATGGATCCTTTTTGGTGCATTTCATAATTTGAATCAGGAACTGTGAATCAAATTCGAGTAAAAGATGAAAATCAGCTGTCAATATTTTCCCTATAAAAACATACAACGCATTGAAGACATTATTAGTGCTACTGTTTCCCTACTACTGATTAAAACCAACGTTATTATGGAGCGGCGACGTCATTTAAGCAGGGAAGAAATGCTCAGAGCCGTGGGAATGATAGAAGCTGGTTCCCGGCAACGTACTGTGGCTTTAGCTCTGAATACAAGTCAGAGTGTTATCAGTCGACTTTGGACACGATACCGAAGCACTGGTACCGTGGCTGAGCGCCATGGAGGACGGTATCGCTGCACCACACGGAGACAAGACCGATACATTCAAATCTTAACTCGAAGAGCTCCAACAATAACCGCCATGATGTTAGCCGTGAGGCTTCATCACTCTTCAGGGAACTTAATTAGCGACCAAACAGTCAGAAACCGCTTGCATGAAGTGAACCTTCATTCCCGAAGACCGCTACGGGTACCACCTATAGCAATGCACAATCGTAGGATTCGATATCAATGGGCTCTTGAACACAGAAATTGGGCAGAAGAACAATGGCGTTTCGTGTGCTTTTCTGATGAGTCTCGTTTTGGTATGAGACCGGATACAAGACGTATACGACACTGGAGAACCCCTGGACGCCAACAGCGATTAAAATCCTGCCAGGAAGTCCATCCTTATAGTGGTGGAACCATCATGGTGTGGGCGGGTATTTGGATCGGCGGAAGAACTGAGTTGATTTGGATCAGAGGCAACCTCAACGCTCAAATTTATGCTGAGACGATTGTATCAGACGTCATCGTTCCTCTACAAGTGCAAATCGGTCCCTTATTTCAGTTAATGCATGATAATGCACGACCGCACACCGCAAGAGTTGTAAGACAGACTCTCGCCGCAGCTAACATCAATGTCCTGCCCTGGCCTGCTCAGTCGCCAGACTTGAACCCGATTGAGCATGCATGGGATATGCTACAGAGAAGAGCTCTGCCGAATATGGAGGGTATCCAGTCGCAAGAAGACCTTTTTTTGTTGTTGCAACGAACATGGGCGGCCATTCCACAGCGTGATTTGGATGAACTCATTTTGAGTATGCCAAACCGATGTTCTTGTGTTGTTAGTGTTCGCGGTAGAAATACGGATTATTAATTGTTTAAGTTACCCAATAAAATTTTAGAGAAAACTGTTATTTCAGTCTTTTTTTCGAACTTTTGTGTTAGTGGTTCAAATGTCAAAAATCCCTTTATTAGGAAAATGGCAAATTTCTTTATTAATGCAAAGGTGACTTGGTTTATCGTTACTGTGACAAACGAAAACACTTTATTTGATGAATCCTTAAAGAAAATTTTAATTAATATCAATCAGGAGAAAAGTTATTGCAAAAATATATGTTGATCCCTAGACACTTTTGATGTGTGTATTTTGACAGTGGTATCAAAAAGTTTCTACTACCAAGTTGGTAAGTTTTATGATACCAATATACATAATTGTGTTTTTTAGTTTAATACTTTCTTTGAGCGGAATCAAAGCAAAGTGGATGGCACACAGCGCAAGGAAGTACGAATACCGCTGCTTCGGATGAAGAGCGAGTATCTCGTAAGGGCGCAAAAGACCTCACCTTTTCTTCAACTTCGGAAGGTGATGGAGTTTTTGCTTTCACACTTTCTATAAGATGTTAAAATGCTGTTGAGATAATGATCCACTTTGACAACACTAATGTTATGAAAGACAGTTAAATATTAATTTAACAAATTACCAGATTTAGTGAAGACTGTTGTGGGATACCTGTCATTGTTACAGGTACAACAATATAACCTTGTTTTTACATACATGACTCGGAGTCACAGATATAACTAACCCTTATTCTAGACGAAGACTTTACTTTTACTAATTATAATAAGCAATCTCCGAACATTTGCAAGTCCAAATCTTGAAAAGGTATTTGAGTCATTACTTTGTTACTCTGGGTTGTATTGCCCATAAAGTAAATAATAAAGTGTGTTATTTCAACAATTGTAAGGATCTGACTATTACAGGTTAGTACAAAAAGAACTTGAAATCGTATTTGCAAAACTTAAAAATACAACTGCATATTGATTCTCCAGTGCATTCCTATACATTTCTTGTCCTTAATATTGGCAGAAGAAGTAATTGGGTTAAAAATTTAATGAGACTCCCAAAAAACAAAGTAGACAGTAGCAATCAATCTCTTTAATTACTGTAATGTTAGTGACACTGAAAGATAAGAAATGTATATTTCTATAGGTACCTATATAATAACCAATGAGAGTCTACCTTCAGCACAATAAAAAACTAATAGTATTTGCTTGGTAGAGTTACATTTTGAATAATCGAGAACAACATTATAGTAGTCCATATAACATCTACACTTCCAATATCAAAATCTATTTAAAACCAAATTGAGATCTCATTGAAACAAGTGTATAATTTTGTTATATTGTATTAGAATAATTATATATTCAAATATTTAATATAACAACATTTTTTAAATAAATACCATAAGCATAATAATCAAATGTTCATTAAAACTTATTTAGTAGGTATAACAATTAATTAAAATAAGATTCATGTTGTTTACATTAAATTTATTCAATTTCTCGTTTTACTTTCTACAATGATAACAAAAACCATATTTTTATGCCTTCCAAGGCATATTTGTAAACTAGTACTAAATTCTAGAACCTGACAAGGACTTGCAATGTACCTGATTAAGTTAAAAGAGAACAACTGCATAATTGCAATTGATTACATTTTTATTGAAAATATGCATTTTATACATCTGAATAAAAATGTGAATAAACCCTAATAAGATTTCTAATATCTTCTAAATTGATATTTAGTTCTGTTGCTTCACTGGCCTCTGCCGCAGTATGCACTCCGTTTTTGTTCATCGCTTATGGTCATAACAATATCTAAAAACTATTATTATTACTATACTCGTTGCCCCTAGCTTCGGATGCAAAATCCAAAAGTTGGGGCGTAGCAAATGCTGTCTTGTTCACGTCTGACAATAAATCCAACTTCTTATTCTGAAACTGACAATGCCGGAACGGCACTCGTTGCTCCTAGCATTGGCACTAGCTTAGTTCAAAAGGGGGGGCGTCACAAATGTTCACTTGTTGATAACGTGTTACAATAACATTGCGAACTGCTTATCCTGAAAAAAATGGTGTTGGATTGAAACTCTTTATTTGAAAGGTGGGACGCCTCCAGAGACGGCAGTTGTTTCTTAGTAGGTACCTGACTTGATGACTTACTTGGGGTTTGAGAAATGCTCTAAAATCTTTAAGACATTGGACGCCCTTGTAATTTTGCACTGCATAGTGATCCTGTGAATAATACCCCAAGTCCTAAAGTCCAATTCAGGACATTCACATAGTGGTCCTCAAGCGACACAGAGTTTTTGAGGAACATGAAGTCATGGAAACAAAGCTAGAGCTTGATTTATGGAAAGCTAATAGAAGCATAATGAAGAATTTCGTAGGTATGGTCAATATATCGTTTAATCTCGACCCCTACGATGGAAATAAAGTCTATGAACAGTGGAGATGCAAAAGCAAGTTACTAGCACCTGAAACTAGCTACCTCGTCTGTGCATACGTCAATTTGCAGGAATTGGGTTTTGGGGGGGAAAAGTAAATTGTATTTCTTTTTCTGTACAAACATTCCACATGCAAGCTAATTATTGCGAGTAGTGTTACAATAACAGTCTCTGGACGAACATAATATTTTACTTTAGTCTACTAGATTTAGCGAAATTATTTGCACCACTCTAAAAACACAGTTTGATTTCATTTTGTCTTAAATTTGAATTTGTTTGTTGGGTAGGTAAAAGATAAAAAAAAAAACACTTTATAAGTTTTATTAATTTGTATTTTCTGTATAAATATACTTACATATGTATTAATATATGTATTCTATCCGTTACCCTGGTATCCCATAACACAAGCCTACAATGCTTACTTTGGGGCAAGGCTAATTTATGTGAGTGTTGGAAATATTTATTTATTATCCACTTATATAATTTCAAAACTAATATAACACAAAATTATTATATATTTTGATAAATAATATAATATGTTATTATAGGTTGTCCACTTACATCGTTTGTAGTTATGCTATGTTATGTGCTTTGCGTGATACAAGCTGTGTAAAAAAATATTTTTCAAATGAACACGTATATCAAAGATCAATAACACCATAACATAATTTAAATTACAATATCTACTACTCATATTATTTGTCCTTATTCTCTAGTCATTTGCGGTTAACATCATTATGGCCAAATAAGTTGTAAATTTAAAATATTTAGGCGCCTTCTATTTTCCATCGAAATGGTAGGAAATCTAGTAGCTACCTGCCTTAAACAGACCTCAAGCAAAACTTTAATAGTCACTGATTTTGTCCACAGTACTGATGCTGCGTACCGTACCTTCAATCTGAACAACATGAAATTCCGCAAACACTATCGGCCGCATTCAAAGACGTCAATTAGTTTTAATAGTTGTCAAAGTGACTAGTTCTCATTCTATTGCTACCACCAATAACCTGAACTATAATCAAACTTAAAAATTAATTGACGCCTCTGAGCAAGGCCTATAGAGTGATATGTTACGCTCAAAGACGGAAAATTTTCATTCGTTATGTTGTTACTGTAAAATGTCCAAATTGCAAAATTCGATAATATCAATATTTTACATCACCCGTTCTGGCATGAATAAATATGTGCATTGAACGTGCGAACTATGTAGCGCACGTTCGAAGCAGAAAAGTTAAGTGAGTATGATTTTATCAAACAAATTTTCGGCCTTTGCGCGTAACGAGTAAAGTATAATTTGAAATAAAACTAATGTTTGCTTTCTATCCCGAATATTTGTCACTTAATGATTTTAAATAAACATTCGAGTTTTTAATAATATTGTATATTTACCCGAATTTAAAAAGACTTAGACATTAATTTAAGTACTTATAAAATACTTTTTGTATTTGTTCCCTATCTAAGGAGCATCTGTATAATTTTCTATACATATTTGCAATAAGTTCATTTGGAATTTAGCTATATCGTAATAAAAACTCGAATGCGTTTTTATTGTTTTAACAAGAGATCATGAAATGTCGACATATTTTATGTGATGAGCGTCAACAAAAACAAAACAATTTTGATGATGTAGCTATTAGTAATAAACAATAGTTATATATAATAAATCTGTTTTATTACTATCAGTGAAGTACTATATTGTTATGTGGTATTTTTCGAATATAAGTGATTAAGTGTATTGATTAGTTATGAGACCATTTTTGTGCTTTTCCTTCTGGTGTTGTTTTATACTTTAAACCCTTATTATGTTTGATTTTTTATGGTTTGATATTTAAATTATCTTATATCTGGTATGCCCTTATACATCTCGGGGATGTATAATCAATCTTTCAATGTGCCTACTATAAACAATTTTAAGTAAAGTTATATCTTGTTTAATTTAATTACCAAATGATATTTTTTCATTTTGTCTGAAAATTTCTTCGCAAACCATCCAAAGAGTGCTTTACTAAACACAATAAATGAATTTTCAATTACATATGTAAATGTGCTAATACTTTCGGGCAAGTATTTGTACTATTGCAAACGTAATTCACATACTTAACACTTTCAAGAACAATTAAAGATTATAATTTTCAACCACCTGGAAGTTTTCGCACACACGTTGTATTATGGATAGCGAACATCATGCCGGGTCGCAGCGCATAAATTCGCCCGAATGTGTTTTATATGAACTATCGCAAACTGCCGGGGAGAAGTGGCCCGCATAATCCGCCCCGGATTTTGTATGCTATAGCAAGCGGATTGAAGCACGGATGTCTTGCAGGGCTGAGTATAGAATCTGCGCTCCACGTTTAACCGATGTCAATTTTGACATAAGTTCCATAGATTTTATGTCAAAATTGAAACATCGGTAAAAAGTTGCACTCAGAGCGTAGGTTTTGAACGTAGCCCAGTACTTTGTACCCAAATTCCGTCAATGCGCTGCGATTCGGCCCGTCACTAATGTGCTAAATATGCAATACACGATACGCTGCGGCCCGGCATTATGCGAGATCCTTTAATGCATTAGGACGGCCCGTCATTGAATCCTCTATTCTATTAGTTCAATCAGGTCTTAACATAAATATTATAATCTAAATGATATTTTGGTTATTCTGTTTGTATAAATATTAGTTAAACATTGAAATTGTTTGAATATATTGGAAAATTACCTACCAATATGTATATCGCTACGCTTTTATGATCTCAATTGTACTACTGTAGTAGCTGCTACTATATTGTGTATATATTAGTGAAAATAGTTTCCAAGTTCTCTTTGAATATGTATGAATACATAAAATATTTATTTATATACAAATAAATACGTGTTTTAATTCCCTTTCGTTGTGATGTACAATGTTATTTTGAGAGTTGAATACTAATGATAATTGAAAATAGTTGCCAAAAGCGTAGTCAGTCGTCGTAAAAAGGAGGAGACACGAGTTACCTACAAAGGAGAGTTACTATGTGCGCAATATGCAACAATATTATATCCATAGTCCAATGTTTCAAGATTCTATACGATGCGAAGGCGATTACCAGTTTTACCATTTTTTTTAACTTATAAATACTAATTCATAATTAAACTGCAAAACAACATAATAATATGATGTATCTATTGAGTACAGACGTCATATCAGTCAAACAATTTATATTAATTTAAACCAGTAACTGTGACCAATATTTTCTTCGATATTAGTTCCTGTTTTTGACCAAAAATTGCAGTTTACTGATAAATATGTAAATATAAAATGTATGTGTATGTATATATATATATAATATAGAACAAATTAGAATTTGATCTTACCATAATTTTAATGAAGTAACTTTGTAATGTACCCTAGTACTCTAAAATACGTGAACCAATGCAGTTTGCCGTATATTTGGTGGTAATTCACGTCACGACTGTAGTTTAAGTAGACACATTTATATAATGAAATTTTCAGTTACGCAGGGCATCACTCGAGTCATTTACAGAATAATTAGAATATCGACCTACTTGAATTCAAGAGTTAAAAATAGTTACAAAATTGCCAGAGTACAATTGCTGTTAAATATATGTAATGTAAATCTACCACCTGCAATGCTATTTAAATTCGTGTGATTATTCTAATCCTATTTTTTTTTAATGTAATAACCAAATGCCTGAGCAATAGGCCGAGTGATGAGCTAAACTGGCTGGATTTGGGATTTTTGTCATACGATATTGAACTTTTTATGAATGATGTCTATACCCGATTCTGATGCAGGTTGCTGTGATATGTTTGAATTATGATAATTCTTATTACAATGCTAAGTTTAAACAATATCGATTCGTTATCATCATTTAAATAGAATTAAATATAAAGATCTATGTTATAGAGGTCCATCAATATTTAGCAACTTATTTAAAATAGGACATACGACGCCTTATAGAAGAATGATTAAAAGCATTTTCTGCATACACTGTGCTGTCGCCAGTCTGTCTGCTAATTTTAAAAGTTAGATCAATAAAGACCCAATAGATGGCATTATTAACTAACATGACAATGTTATAGCTCAAGGAAAACTTATAATGCGAGAGTGATTAATACCACTTCTAACAAAGCGTTTTTAAAGCAATGACTGTTTATGTCTACTTTACATTAATGTTTATTTAATAACATTCTATACTAGAACAACTTTTCAATTTGAACCGTTTTTATACCAGTACATTTTTAAGTTTCTTTAGATAAGATCACATATTCATTGAATATTTCATGATCACTAGTTACCACAAAATGGTAATGTTGGTGAAGGTATTAACATGCACCTATTTAGATAATACATACTATGATCATTTATATTGAATAACATTGTAAATCCAATCCAACACATCTTTGTTTTTCATGAACATATTTTTTACTGTGAATTATTAAGTATACGAAAATGGCAAAATAATTTAATAAATATAAATTTTATTGATTTACATTAAATAATAATGTATTTAAAATAAATATTGTAATTATTTCTCAATTTGATTTTGCAGTTTCCCAAAAATGTCTTGGTATCTTTCGCCATATCGTCATAACATTATTCAAATTATAAATGTTTAGTGTTAAAATAATTTTGAATAAGAATATATGTATGAGCGTTCAAATAAATACATAATGGTATTTTTGAATTGATTTAAATAAAACCAGACTGTCACATAACCATGTTTTATTGAGTGCATCTATGGTATTTGAGCATAAATTATTCATTATGCTGTAAACCATAGACATAATAAGTTCTATATTAGTATAAATAAGATGTAAATTGTAATTAACATGTTAACAAGTTTTGTTATCAATCTGCAAGCAAACATTTAAAAAAACTGTTTGTTTCAGTTCAGTTTGAAGAAAATAATTTGTTCTAACAAGTTTTCATTAGTGGTACCTTGGCAATTAATAATTTTTTTTAAATAAGTATGTCCATCATAGAATATTTTGGTTAGAACAAAACAACAAAACTCTGTCGTAAGACAGTTTAGTATAGCACAACATCAATATTCCTAAATTTTGATTTTAATTGTTTCATATAATCTGTGTTAATGATACGAGGACATTGATAAACAGCTAAAAACTTTAAATTTTTATAATATTCTGAAATCACATCTACGATTATAGGTGAAATATTTCCAATTCTAGACAAGCTAAGGCTTTGTAATTTAATCAAATGATTACTACTAAGAGTTCTCAACAAATTGACTTCTGTAAAATTATAATTATTCCATATCTGTAAATGTTCTATTTTTCTCAAATTTGCTAGATTAAGCAAGCCTTCATCAGTAAGCGATTCACATCGAATTATCGCTAAATCTTTCAATGATGGACATTTTGATAACAAATTCAAACTTTTGTCATTAACAGCGTCGCCTCCATATATATGCAATGTTTCTAAAATATTCTGGTGTGATAAAATCAATTCAGTGACAAACTCTATGTTTAGATTCTTGATTTTCTCAATAAGTATGTGAGTAAGATTTGTGCAGTTTAAAAGACTATTGCAATTTACAGACGATAGTCCAAAATCTGATAATGCCAAATAGTGGAGCTCCTCGAAGTGATCATATTGTACGAATACATCTTCATTGCTCACAAGAATTATAGAATTCTTTAAATTCAATTTCTTTAGATGTGGCCATCTTTTAATGTCGTCTTCAAATTCCTTTCCAATCCTACACATCACTAATTCTAGAGATATCAAATGATCACATTTGTCTATCACAGATTTGATGAATGGATAACTGTAAACATATTGTAATTTCAAATTATAAATATACTGGCTGTGTGTCATTATGATGTCGAGGTTCTTTTTGCTTACTTCACTTTGGCCTGGCTTTCCAGAGTAAACAATGTGTATTTGTCTCCATATTGATGTGTCTCGCACTAAACTTCTCCATCGAAAGCACACATCTTCACAAGTTAGAAGAGACTCCATAGGTAAATATTTAAAAATGTGTATCAAAATTTCATCAGGTAAACAATTGACACTGTCGGTAATACCATCATCCTCTTCAAATGCAGTCATTCTAAAAGCGTGTTAATTATGTCAGTCTACACGTGATTAACGACAAAATTCAATAATACAATTTTAATTCGTACATACCTTATTTATTGTTAAGGTTTCACTGTTCAGCGCCTTTGCGTAGCTAGTGGACGTTAGAAAAATCCAAATTCATTGAAAATGAAATATCTAATTTTAGCTACCAACTGTCAACTAAAACGCAGTGTTTAAATCCCTTCGGATCAAACAAAAGACTGCCTGTACAAGTTTATAGTCATTATTGTAGTAGCGAAATGTTTTTGTTTACTTACCTTTATTTTTAGCAGATACAAACAATGAAAAATTTATAAATTTGTAGCTCCCCCTCCCAATTCATTGACAGTTGAGTACACAGATTAAGGATGTAATTGAGTAGGCAGGTAGATAATGCGCATGTCTACCATAGATGGCTATTAAACAATATGGCAACACTGTATGCCGAAATGTACCATTAGGGTACGGCCAGAGTGCACTCAGATTCAGATTCCGAAAACAAGCGCGAGAAATAAACAGTGTAGTTAAAGCAGGGTGGCCATAGTGGCAGCAGGCCGCGCAGGTTTCGGAGTCAGACACTTTACCGGAATGTTTAGGTCATTCAGATTCTGAATTCACCAGCGCCGCTCGGCAGTGTTGCCAACTCGGATTTTGAAAAATGCGTAGGCCCGATGAGAAAATTACGTAGAATTGGTAAATTTTGCATATGAAAAGTACGTAGATCTACGTACTTTTTTCTGAGTGAAATGAAGAAGTTAGGTGAAACCGAATAAAACGAGTATTTTATTATACAATTTCTTTAAAAACGGGCGATAGAACAAAGAGTTCTTGGAGAAGTCGCTGCATTGGAAGCATAAATGCTTTCAACTATACCATACCACAGCATGGTAAACCATGCTGTGGTAGACATTTACTATCAGACACAGACACTGGTGGATGTCGATTCTGGCATGATTCTCTAAATTTAAAACTAAATTTAACATCAGTCTCTCCTTTTCATTCTTTATAGAGAATGACAAGGATACATTGTTGTTAAATAGGCTAGTTGACACTTTTTGCAATTATGTTTTGAAATGTTAATGATTGTTCTATCAGACCGAAAAAAAATGTATTTTTTTTTACCTACAAGACATACAAAAACGCTGTATATTCTATAGACTTATCTATGCTATGACGTCAAAACATTTGTAAACGAACACACGCAAGCACGTAGGAAATAAACTTTCCGAGTTAATATTATAAAACCATGATTTCTAATAGATCACATGAAAAATTTAGTAGTTATCATGATACACTTGGTAAAAGACTAGAAAAGTTGTGGTTTAAGTTGCCAAGAGAAAAAAACATACTTCATGAACACATGTTTAAAACTTGCTAAATCCTGTAACTTTATCCACTGAAAGTAATTTTTTTTGCAAAGATCAATTCGATGTAAGTACTCATTGAATAATATTACAGTTTAAAAATACAATTTTCAAGGTTATGAATGTTTTTTAATAACCAAAAAATTTTGTTTCTTTTTATAGTTCGCCATAATTTTGTACCCTAATTGAGTGGATTATATAAATATAATATTTGTGATAGTATAGTAAATTGTAAATTAAAAGCTGTGATTGAAATTTTAAGTTCTTAAGAGCAAACATATATAAAGTCTTATATTAAACAAAACTGCTATATTATTAGTCATTATCTATGTTTATAATTTTTTTATGATAATATTTACTTTAAAATTTTAAAGTTTAACATAGATATGCAAAACTCATTATATAATAAAAAAAATTATTTGTCATTAAAAATAATTTCATTAACATAGCATTTTTTTGTATTATTAATGATTGTTCCTACATATACTATAAACCATACAAATTATTCAAATTACACTACCCTCGCGAATCCAGACCCAGCTTTCCGGTTAATCCGGACAGTCTGTTCCCATCATATCCAGATTAGTGAGATTGTAATAAATTCTTACCTAATGGTTATAACAAGGCGTTCTTCTGGAAGAATCTTGTGTTTGTGCAAATTACACCAATTCTTCATCATTTGAGGTTCACATTTTTTTAAAATGTAGTAGAACGTTTCCACTTCCATCCTAAAATATTGGAAGAAACGTTTCCTATCATCTTTGAATTGGGGAAACAAATGGTGGTATTCCCCATATTCACTCCTTAATTTATTAATTTGGTGAACACCGATTCTCTCCCGTTTTAATTTATAATGACAACTATCAGTAGCCATTAACAAGCACGCTAGATCTTCATTAGAAAATTCCATGTTTAAGTTTCTGGATCAACGAACATATAACAATGTACTCTATGACTCCGTACGCGTCGAATGAGAAAGAGAGACTGTTGAATGACTGTCGATTGCGACTTTGTACAGATTAAAAGTTTATGAAGTGGTTTTATTTTTATATAAAAATGTAATAAAAAAAAATTTCCGTTTCGCCCAAAACAAAATTTCGCTTTAAAACCCCCCCAAATTTCGGGTAACTCCCCCCCAACCTGGCAATAGTGCTCGCGTCCGCGTCTTGTAATCTGCCTCCACTGTGGCCATCACCTGCTTTGCTCAAGCTGACATCTCACGAGCCTGCTTTCTGAATCTGAATCTGAATCTGAGTGCACTCTGGCCGCACCCTTACGTTTGCGCAAAATTCTTCACTTGTGCAAGTCTAAATTTGAGATAAGTGCAGAGATGTGCAAAATAAATTATAAAATGTATTTAAATACAAAATGTTAATAAGTATTTTTTTTATTTTAAATACAAAATATTTTTTCATTTCATATTTAAAATACTAAATATAAAACTATTTTTTCAAAATACTATAACAAAATAAAATACCTTTGGTTTTAAATTGAGTTTATTATATTGGTGTTTCTTTATATAAGTGGTCAGAAAACAAAACAGTTCAGTTCAGTGCTGCCCTTAGAGCATATACAGTTTGTCTATAAAGTCGTGACATTAAATGATGGCGCCACTAGTATGCATGTAGCAACCCTGTACAGTCGGACCAAAATGATTTTGATACTAGCAGTTCATTTAAGTAAAATAGGTATATAATTAATAAGACACACTATACAGTCGTATTTTGTTTCTGTTTTATATATAGTAGGTACCTATGCTTATAAAAAGTTTAGCCAAGCATATTTAATTAAATCAGAATAAAATTATTATAGATAAAATAGTACTTTATAGTGTAAAAGTGTGTAATGATGGTGAGTACCGCTGAGGTGCCATTGAGACCAGAGCCGTTAGGTAATCATCAATACACAGACGTATCATCATACGACGTTTTTTAACACACTTGTTAAGAAAATAATACTAAAAATCATTTTATAGTATATAAAAAGTTTATTTAAACAAACAATTTGTAAATGTGCAGTTAGTAATATTAGTGATAGGTATCTTTACTAAAAGCATCTGGCCATGGTTCTTTATGTGACCATTTCTTTCTTTGGTCGGCCTTGCCTGTTTTCTCAGGAGTTTCAAACTTTCCATCATTCTTAAAACCTTCGTTGACTATCCGACTCTCTGATTTTCCTGAAAAAAGGTAAAAAAATATGTAACGGAATAGAAACAATAACTTATTGACATGAAGCAATTAATTCAAAATTGGTAGAAAACCTGACCGAGTTGAACCATAATAACGTATCAAAAGAAATGGTCGTACTACAATAATACCTATTTACAATGTCAATCTAACCTAAAAATGTGCAATGTAAACAATGCCTTTTCTTGTCTCAAAATCGTAAATTGAGTAAATTTGTAACTTCAGGCAGATTACAAACAAATAGTTACACGATTACATACACGTCATAGATGCTGTTCGCCTATAAACATCATCCAAATCCCGCAAAATTCGTCCAGCTTGGTAGTCTTCGAAACATCGCTGGAAAACTTTAAAAATCACTTCCCGCGTGCCACTCCGATTTACTTTACTCATTTTTATACCTTTCTGCGTAGTTTCGTCTTAATTTATTACAGTTTAATCCAAACAATTAAAAATACAAAAGGAAAACTGTTCCACAACTGAAACTCGATGACAGCTGATGTACATAAGTTTGGTGTTGCCAGACACAGGAATAATGTTAGTTCCTCAAACATTCATGTCACGAGTCACGACTTTATAGACAAACTATACGTGGTTTAAGCTCCAAGGTGCTGCCATAGTAAGAAAAGAAATCGCATTAAATTGGTATTGCTGTTGACTAAACTTATTATATAATAATATCCGGTTCACATGAAAACGGGTGGGTCCTAGTATGATTTGGAAGTCGAGTAGGTAAAGAGATTAAAATACGTACTTATACCGATTATAGAAATGAAAATCTATTCCATGTTTCAATTTAGGCTGATTTCGTGTGAATTTTGTACTTTTTAGTTTTAGTTCCATTTTTGATTTTGAAGTCAGTATTTTATTTTTTTGTTTATAAAATATTTTCATTTCAACACCTAATCTAAAGAGCCGTACACAATGAGTTCCGTTCATTAAATGAAAACTACTGGGTCAAATTAAATTTATATAGGACTTAATGGCAAGTATCGCCTATCGAACAAAAAAGAAGCACTCAAATTAAGAACATTAGAAATCTTTACATAATCGGTGTACATTTATAATAAAGTATCGGAAAAATTACACCGTCCAAGTTAACACAAACGCTCATAAAACAAAAACTACTGCACCAAACTAAATATTTTTATGGGCATAAATGGCATCTATTCTGCATGGAACAAAAACGAATCAGAAATCTCGGAGTAATCGGTGTACGTTCATAAAAAAAATTACCAACGAATTGAGAATTTGGGAACCTCCTCCTTTTTGGAGTCGGTGAAAAAGAATTTTGCATTTTTGCTAATACAAAATATGTCCTTTTTAGTATTTAAAATAAAATAGAAAATGCTTTTCTAAACAATGTGTTAAAATACTAAGTGGAGATATTTTGTATTTTGCTTTTTTTAATAGCTACTTTTATTTTTTAAATGTCTTTGAATACTTATTTGGCTACAATTAGTAATAATTGTTCACAGATGGATGACCATCCTCAAGATGTCCCGTGTCGTGTCCAAAAGTCCATTTCTATTATTTATTATTCTATCATTACTGTAGTGTACTGTTTGGTCTTACTAAGTCTAGCCCGTCACAGACGTAGCTATAATATATATTAATATAAATCATAGCAAGACATATTACAACATATTTTCAATATAAATTTTCGAGTGACCGCACACGCAACTATAATATATATTTCTATGACGTCACCAAAATATGTCGACAGATATATTTTGGCATATTACTGTATATTTTGGTATATTAATATATATTTTGATATATTTTTATGGTACGGTATGTTCCATTTTTCACCGAACGCCTGCCAAAATATATATTATAGTACAGCACCCGTCTGTGGTAGTTTGTTTAATAAAATATCTCGATAAATGAATATATATTATAGCTACGTCTGTGACGGGATATATTTTGGCATATTAGTATATATTTTTAATACGGAATGTTCAACTTTTCACTGAACGCCTGCCCGGTGTCCGGCTCAAGCCCGTCACAGACATAGCTATAATATATATTAATATGAATCATAGCAAAACATATTACAACATATTTTCAATATAAATTTTCGAGTGACCGCACACGCAGCTATAATTATATATTTCTATGACGTCACCAAAATATGTCGACAGATATATTTTGGCATATTAGTGTATATTTTGCCATATTAATATATATTTTGATATATTTTTATGATACGCGATGTTCCATTTTTCACCGAACGCCTGCCAAAATATATATTATAGTACAGCTCCCGTCTGTGGTAGTTTGTTTAATATACTCGATATATTAATATATATTATAGCTACGTCTGTGACGGGATATATTTTGGCATATTAGTATATATTTTTAATACGGAATGTTCAACTTTTCTCTTAACGCCTGCCCGATCTCCGGTTCAAATGCGCACGAGCATTTCTCCCCCACCCTCCCTCTCCTAAAATACTGTGCAAATTTATTGGATGACAAAACACGATACAAATTAAATTCACCACAAGTTTCCTTTAGTTTTATATGCGACTCTACCCAGATGGTTATATTTTTCGTTCCTGACAAGGCAACATGCATATCAAATTCAGCATCGGAATCATCCTCTGAGGAACTTTCAATTAAATCTAAAAGTAGTACTCTTGTCGAATTCATTTCATTCATTCATTGTAAGATTGATTATAACGTTATTTCAAAATTAAAACACCCTGTGCTAGAAAATGAGCTTTAAAACCGTGCGCTTGCAAAAACGACCGCAGACCGAGTGAGGGCAAAATATATATTATAGTATAGCTCCCGTCTGTAGTAGTTAGCTATAATATAATATATATTTCGATATATTAATATATATTATAGCTACGTCTGTGACGGGCTTCTATGTACTGATTTATACCACCGTCCGCCCCTCCTATAATCTCAGACCAAATAAAAAGTAAAGACGGAGTCTGCCGAACCAAAAAGTGAAGCCGGTTTTTTATGTATGTAGTGCATTAGCCAGTGTTACCATAGTCATATAAAACACCCCAATATTAGAAAAATGTAATAACGTTATGAAATATTAGAAAAAAATATCGTAAGCTTATTCTCTAAACCTCTCGTGAGCCAAAGGTCATGCGCCGTTCTCACCTACAAGTGCCGGACTTCTTTATGGACCGCCCGCCCGCTGGGTGGGAACGATTGCATTGTTCTGCCGATTTCTCTGTTATTTTGTAAAAATACCCTTCACAAACGTATATTTGGATTCTCCATAAAATTTTCAATAAAACAGTGTGTACACAATGCGTCATGTCTATAATTTATTTTAATTACATTATGGTAAACTCAGGAAAGATAAAAAAAGTCGTTTAAATAGGTAAAATGAGGTATATTTTCAAAATTTGTAAATTATAAATCCAGGTTTTTGTACATATAGAATGTACTATATATGAATGAATGTATATAATAACTTACCAAATACAATTATAAAATATAACACGCAACAGAAAAAAAGGGTCGTGTTTCAAGTGTTGATAAAAACAAATGCGAGATCCAAGTGCCTTGATTTATGTGTTGACGTTTAATTATGTTGGATTGTTTATTTTACTTTAGTTACAAGTCTCGGATGGAATAGGTTTGTTCATTTTATAGTTTCAAGCACTCGCAACAAGGCACTTGAAATCGCTTACAAATCAGTCATCTCAACTTTATGTCGATAAAACGAAAAGCATATACAAATGTTGATAAACAGTTTCTTTTATTAAAATGTACATGAAATTTTCTATAGAATACACAAAATATAATCACTAGTTCCTATACAAGAACATAATAAAATAAATCCACAAACATCGCGAATTTTGGGTCTAAAAGGCCATTAAAAAGTACAATACAAATAAAATTACAAATATATTATTAACAAACCACGCTGCGGGAAGCTGGTTGCCACAATGGTTCATTTCTACTCTTACGAATGACTGCAATCCACTTCTCTTTTAAATCTTGATCTCGATTAGGAAATCTTAAAAAAACGTATATTAAATAATGTGTATTACATCCCAAAAAATTTATACGAATACATAAAGAAAAAAGATGTTTCGTGTAATTGTTTATCCATGCATTATAATATTCGAATAATATAAAAGTATGCCACACAATGTATTTAGTAAAATAACTTTACGTTATATTTCACGCTACCCAACAAAAGGGTAAAACTGTAACGAATAATCATGGCAACATTTCGTTCAGGTTTTGTTTACAAAGCGACAACCTCAAATTTGATTTTGATTAATTGAAAATAGCAGTTTATAACTTTACTTACGTATGAAATGTGATTCCATCCTGTTTTTTATTCTTGGAAGATTGGTTTTTACACGTTTTCACTACACAATTCGGCATTTTCTCTAATAAATATTGTTATTTATTATTACGTCACACTCCGCGCGTCGGGATAGCTCGACTGAGAAGCCAAGGCGTAGTTTCGTTGCATGTGTGTGCGTGTAACTGTGTATGTACACGGCGAGGCGTAGTTTTATCGGCTTCACTTTTTGGTTCGGCAGACTCCGTCTATACTTTTTATTTGGTCTGAGCCTATAATATTTTAAAATTCATCTTAGTTAATATTTAGGTAAACATAACTAACCTAACCTAACTTGTTACTTTTTTTTAGTTATACCATCGATTTGCAAGTAGAATAGATATTACAAACTTATCATGTTTTATAAAAATATAATCTCTGTGTCGTGATATATTTTTAGTGGATAACGGTGTTGGTTGTGTAATGACATCAATATATTTATTAGTGTTACTACATTACGTACAATATTGCACAGTTGTTTGTTATCCTAAATAAATAAAAAAATAAAAATAAACCTCATTAAATATTAAAAAAAATCTGACTTAATTATTAGTTAGGTCGTTATTTCTGTGGCTATTCCGTAGAGTCTGGGAGGAGTGACGACGGCCAAAGACTGTTCAGCCTCAAGCTCTTTTTTTTTTAATATATAGTCTTATTACCATGATCTATCCCTCCTTAAAATTTTAATAGTATTTATTTAATAAAATTCGTAATGTACGTCTTTGAAGCTCAGACACTCCCGCAATATTCGTATTTGAAGCACAATCCTAACCTCACTTTTGGTAATGAATGTTTTCGATAAGTATTGTTCAAAAAATTGTTACTGCATTTCTACCTTTACTTATATAATTGAGCATTTACAAATATTCCGGTTTTGTTTTGTTATCATCAATATTCTATCCACCTTTTGTCTAACTACGAGGGTCTTATCTATCCTTATCGCCGACTACAGTACTGAATGAGACAGAAAATCCGCATCGCGAGCAGCGGCCCTTTTATTTTTTGCCATCTGCCTCTTCATTCAGTGAGTCGGATTCCGTCGGGGCGGGTCGTCACTGCAATCTATCATATTACACTTCATATTTTGTGTATTTTAACTTAACCGTAGGGCGACCCGATACCTAACCCGACTTAACTAGAGTACTTAATAAGACTTAAAAATGTTGCATCTAAAGAACATAGCCAAATCAGTGGTTCCGCCTTTGAAAAATTCCATTCAAAATGAGGCAGTCAATAATATACTCCGAATCACGCCTGCTGCTGTTAACGTGTGTTGCCGAACCTACGCAAGTCATGAGATTCCAGACAGGCTTAAAGATATACCGACCAGTGCAAATCCCAGATTTTTCGACATGGTTGAGTATTTCTTCCATAGAGCTTGCCAGGTAATAGAAGATAAATTGGTGGAAGACATGAAATCAAGAGTCTCCATCGAGGAAAAGAAAAAGAAAGTCGCCGGTATTCTGAACATGATGCAGCCTTGTGATCACATCATTGAAATCCAGTTCCCATTAAGGCGTGATTCCGGTGACTATGAGATGATCCTGGGATACAGAGCTCAACATTCCTCACACAGAACCCCCACCAAAGGAGGTAAGCTACAATATAAACTTATTCCTTTTGCTTTTCATAAAAGAAATAGGTACTATGATATAAAGACCACAATACGAAAGAAACTTGTTATATGTATTATTACTTAATTTATTTATAGCCCACGAAACACGTGATGTCGTCGTCCGTATTGTTACGTATGACAGAAGAAAGGCTAGTTTTCCGCAAAATAAATTCTTCATTTGTTAATTTTGCTGTTAATTACTTAAATTTAGCTGATCAAAATCTCTTTCGTTATAAGAATTAATCACAATTATTTGATTCAGCCGCAACTTATGCCTAATGTTGTCGTTTTCGTACATATCATTAAAAATAAGTATAATTTGATACAGATAATTTAATATTTTTTTCGTGAGCTCTTACGTAACGATCAGCAAAGCTAAAGCTAAAGTTATTACTTACATTCGTGGAAAATGTCAAACATAAAATAAAAATAAACCTTCTCTAAGGTTACATTACATCTATACCACAAGAAAATAAATAGTGAGGCACTTGGTTAGTTACCTTAGTTTCTTTAATTTCATTCCTAACAGATAACTAACTTTGTCTTTATTTTCATACGGTTGCCTTGTGTGACGTAATTTCTGTTGTACCGGATGTTACCGAAAATTCAACACGTGTATAGAGGTAACATCTGTTTACATTTTAATAACCTTGATTTTCATCACCATACAATTTTAATATACAGTTAAGTACTAACTTAGAGATAAGATTATCTTATTTAATCATTGATTTTTTAAGTACACCTTTTTATTCAATCAGGTGCTCTTTTTGTGATATTTTTCCCAGACGGGCCAAGCCGTAAATTCGTTGTGCTCAAGTACTACCAAAAAAATAGTGTAATTATGAGGCTGTCATATTACTAAATTATGTCGTTAGTTAATAGATTATTTTTCATATGACAACAGGTGTTTTTTTTGTTCTTATAGGCTTAGGATGCCTTTCGAAATGGTAAATGTGAAAAAATTACAGAACAGAATTAAATCCATTTCAAAATTGAGGGATCAAATTAAAGAAGGGGAAAAGTTATATATGGGCGATTTTAGGTCGGGAATTTTCTAGAAAACTACAACTCCAATCGAAAAACACATCACATAACCTAAAAATATCTCTGAAAAATCTAAATTACGGACTTTTTAGTTTTTCATTATTATCTCCCACAAAAGAACTTTTTGTTTTCACGAAATTTGGTGAAGACCCTTTTTATCCCAATCACGTTTTTTTTTGATGGAATGTATTATTTTTACTCCATATTTTGTTATACCATAAGAGTAACCATGCTTTCAATCGAAAAATCTCTCATTAAAAAAGTTTATATCAAAAAATATGCGCTTCTTGTTCTTTGGAACCTCTAATTTCTGATATAGAACAAAAAAAATTGCTATGGATTTTTTTCTCAGAAAACACAATACGGTCGTCACCCTTCTCGAGCTTTTAAAGGGGGAAAACGGTTTATCGCGATATTTCGGGAAAACTACAGTTAACGAAAAAAAACAATGGCAAAATTGTAGGTACCTAATTAATAGATAAATTTAGTAAGTAATTTTTGTATTTAAACTTTTTGGTTTTTTATAAAAGTTCCTAAAACGTGCGATCTTACTTACTTACAATTTTGCCACTGTTTTTTTTTCGATAGGAGTTGTAGTTTTCCGAAATAACGTCATAAACCGTTTTCCCCCTTTAAAAGGTAGAGAAACGTGACGACGGCGCATTTGCATTTTCTGAGATTTTTTTCCATAGTATTTTATATTTTTTTGTATAGTAAAGTAGAGGTTCAATAGACAAAAAGCATAGCAACTTTTTTGATGGATTCTTAGATTGAAAATAAGGTAACTTTACGTATTAAAAATATAGAGTGTGTTTGGGATATAAAAAAGATAAGATTACACCAGAATTCTTAAAAAAAAGTGTTTTTGTGAGAGATATGAATAAGAAAAAGTCTTATTTTGATTTTTCGCAATTATTTTTAGGTTAGATGTGAAAATGTGGAAATACACAAGTTGTAGATCTTTTGATAACTTATATTTTGCTATAAGAGTTGTAGTTTTCCCGAAAATTGCGATAAACCGTTTTCCCTCCCTAAAAGGACACCCTGCCCAACCTCAAATCGCCCGTAAATTACTTTTCTTAATTTTTTAATTTGTTGTCTTTCTTGTAAAATGGGTTTCGGGTTTTATTTTCTCAAAAATTATCGTGCTTGGCCTATTAGTCTTCTTGTTTATTTATATAGCCTACCGGCTATTCTATGTAACGATATCGTTCAGCAATTAATCCTATCTTCCAAATCTATTTGAAAATCGGATTTGCAACAAATATTAGAAAATGATAATTTCTAGTTAAAACGTTCGCTTAACTACAAAATATTATTTGAGTAATAATGTAACCTCTTGCTCCTTTTTCTCTTAGAAACATTACATAGCGAAAAAATACCACGTTTAAATTATACCACGATAAGTTTCGTAAGTAGCTTTTTTGTGCATATTCCATTTTTTCCACTCTCCCTTGGATTTACTACAGCTTTAGCTTTTGTGCGCTTCCCGTACGTAGGTACTTTGTGCTTTTGCCAAAGTTCTGGAGGCTAATTAATTTTATCCCACTATTCGATGTTGAAATTGCCATCCGTTTTTAGCCACGTCTCTCCAAATCTTTAAAATTTTTAAAAAAACTTCAAAGATGATCTAAAAGCACATTTAGAAACCGGCCGCAAAAAAGGAGCATAGCTTGGACAAACGTTGGACTCCATTGACTTAACCTGGATGTCATAAAAACAATAAAATATATATGAGTAGCCATCTCACATTACGTGAACACAATTTTTACTGCGCTTGAATAACAAAATTTATCCAGTCATTGTCCACAAGAAAAAGACGATTCGAATATTACTATCATCTATGTAAAGAACCACATAATTTAAAAGTCATAGATAATATAAAGACAGGAACTGTTAAATTTTTATTTAGATTAAGCTCTTGTAATATTTTCTCCTATAGCCATTACGAGTGCCGCCAATGGTTGGTTTGAAGCAAGTGCCTTTAATTACACCTGATAACATTATCCGGTAACGTAAAACTCGTTCCCATTGAATACAATTTAATTGTAAACTGTTGCGAAATACCCCGTCGAATCTTTTAGGTCTTTATTTATTTAACATTGAAATGAATGTTAGAATGGGATATTATGTTTTTTTAAGGTTAAAAGCGGAGACAAAACAATCTGTGAATATATTATTCTCATTATTTCATAATTTAAGTTATCCGTTACTCTTTGGAATATAAAATCGTAAACAGGAAAAATGTTATATCCCTAGTAACTATACCAAGCTTTTTTAGTCACGGAACACCAACCAAAAATATGATGCCCTTAAGTTTTTCCACATTAGTTTATAAGAAATTCCTATGTAGCTTTGATATCATATTTTATTATCCATGAATGTATCGTGTAAAGGAATTAACCAGAAATGCATCCACCTAATGATATTATTTAATAGAATTGTTTTAAGTACTTAAAGTTTGTTTATAAAGCAACGTAGATAGGTAATTGGATTGTAAAACCAAGAAAAATGCTTAAAAATTTCAATTATAGTTACAATAACATTTTAAAACTTTATTAGTATACTAAGAACACGTACTGTCCTTTTATTGCAAACTTAAAAAGGGTTAAAATAATTATAGTTGATAAAGCTAAACCGAAGTAGATATATATACCTATCAATATAATAGGTTGGGGGAAAAGTCTATTTCGCATTATAATATGTATGAACTTATAATAAAATCTCTTCGGCTATATACCATTTGTACCTGGCTGGTTTTAAATCATTAAAAAGTTTAAATTTTAAAGAAGATGATTCCAAATTAAAATTATAAAAATGTGTGATTTTCATTTGCTTTTTCTTACTGTCAAGTTTAGTGAATTTAATTAAGAAATTCGATACATTTTAAAATTTTACTACAAACAATGTAAAAATGCAGTATCTGTGAGAGTAGCACTGCGTTTTCAATCCGGAAATTTTTGATGTTAAAGATGCACGTTGCTCTGGTCATAAAATGGATGGCATTTTTAAAGAAGGTGATAACTGATGATGAATAGTGGAAGTGGATCACGTACGAAAAGGAACGTGCGAAAAAGGTCGTGGTCAAAGGCCCGTCAGGCTTTACAGACTGGCGAAACCCGGGCTAACTCGCATGAAGGTGATGCTGTGTATATGGTGGGATTGGAAGGGCATTATTCATTGTGAGCTGTTACCGCTAGGCAGGACCATCGATTCTGAACTCTACTACGAACAACTGATGGGATTAAAGCAAGAAGTTGAGAGAAAGCGGCCGGAATTAATCAACAGAAGCGGTGTGGTTTTTCATCATGATAACCTAGACCTCACGCATCTTTAGCCACTCAGCAAAAAATAAGAGACTGGGAGGTGTTAATGCATCCGCCGTATAGCCCTGGCCTTGCACCTTCACATTTCCACCTATTTCGGTCTCTTCAGAATTCTTTAGGCAGTGTCAGGTTAACATCACGAGAGGTCTGCCAAAATCGCTTGCCGCGGTTTTTTGCTCAAAAGCCCCAAAAATTCTGTAGCAATGGGATCATGTCCATCCTATTACAAGATGGCAAAAAGTTATCGAACAAAATGGCACCTTTCTTCACCATGACATACTTTAGTTAAATATAAATAAATTTTATTAAAAATGATTTGAAGTTTCATATAAAATGCGAAGAAACTTTATCCCCAACCTAACGAGGAAGTAACTAGCTAAAATGGCGATATCAAGTCACAAAAATACTATGCAAATTAATGGTCGAATCGAAACATAATGGGGCAATGTAGCTCTACACCTGCGTATCGCAATCTAAAATTACAACAATCGCAATTGCTTGCCATTAAGGTTTCATAATATAACCACACGTACCTAACCTAGCCCCCGTGGGTGGCCAGCTTCAAAATAATGACTACAAATTTTATTTTCATCGACACATGCCAAATC